TCTGCAGAATGTGCTCTCGGCCCAGCAGCTGCGAGCGCTCCACCATCTTGACGGCCAGCGTCCGGCCATCGGCGCGACACCGGCACTCGCGCACCACCGCAAAGTTGCCATCCCCCAGGATGCGCGCCATTTCGTAGAGGCGATTCACGTCAGCCTCGGCGACCTCGCTGCCCTCCGAGCGAAGCGCCGAGAATTCACTCGAGATGGCAGGAAGGCTCTTTGAGTCTGTCAGTGAATCAAGGTTATTCGTGTTACCCTCTCTGATATCATCGCTGTCATGCGATTAAAAAAAAAGCGTGATTAATTAATTAGGGTATGTAATTAATCTAATTTCTTTTAATCTAATCTAAAAATTACTGAGAAAACCCCTATTTTCATTTTAAATTCGTTACATTGTTAAGGCAGATCAACAACTCGAACACAGGAAGCCAACACATAAAAAGGGCTATTAGAAAAAGGCAACCCACCTACAGAAACAATAGAGGCAGAGATTAAAATTTAGATTAACGCGATTAAAAAAAAAATAACGCTCTACATGTGATGTAATTAATTAATCACAATGCTATAATTTGACACATCTACGTGATATTGTGGTATTTTTAGCGATGGAAGATGGGAAGCGATTCTTCAAAAACGGTTCTGAGCTGTTGATAGCCAATCAGTTGAAATTTACTGTAAACATTAACACCAAGAGGAGTGAATTCAACTCGTAATTAGAATCAGCTGAGCACAAGCTGCTGTGAAGAGCAAAAACCTGCCAGTAATTGACAGACGTTTATAACGGCCCAAAGGCGCCACAAGATGGCACCAAAGCACTACCTATGTTTCAAAGACAATTGAGGCTCAACTTTTTAAAACTTAGGAAAGCAACACTGTTGTTGGCCATATTGTTCTGAATCAAATAGTTCACAGGATGTTTGAACAAGCCAAGATTTGAATTTGAAGTTGTAAAGATGGGCAGCTTCTTTTGTTAGATGTCACTCACGTGCATGTTTTTTCTGCGTGTGGAAAAGTGGGAATTTTTGGAACATGAAAACCGGTTGTCTTAATTTAATACTATATATATAAAGTTAAAAGCATAATACATATAATACAAAACTCTTCCAACCTTGGGGTGAACTTCCCATTTGTTTCCTGCGCACGGGAGGCAATGGGGCCCTTCTTGAAAACGGATTGTTCCACTCCGGACTTGGACGCTTGGCTCTTCTCGCCAAGCAGTTTTCACACAGAGGAGCAAAGTCCATCTCTTGCTCTTGTTGAAATTGACCAATGGCAGGTGGCATCTCCTCGTAGACCCTGCCCCTTACGCGGAGCTTCTGCAGGTGGTTTGGATGATGAGCTGCTTTCCTGGACGCGCCTTTACTCAACTTCTCCGTCTCGGGTGGCGGTCTATCTTCCGTGGCAACCTTGTGCTCCATCCCCTCACTGTAGCCGCTGTCTGCCTTAGCGGCTTTATCTGGCCCCGGTCGGAGCTTCTTCTCCCAGACCAGGAGTGCTTCGGCCCGGTAGCGGGACTGCTCCGGGAACAGTTCCTCCAGCGCCTCGTGCAGGGCGTTCAGCTCCGGGCGGCCTTTGCCGAGTGCCAAGAGGGCCGTGTCGCTGTGGAAGAATTCGCCAACGCTCTTCACCTGTGGTGGATGATAAAAAACTAGACTTAAGATTCCTGGTGTCGATTTTAGGAATGGAAGGAAGATCCAACCTCTCGGGCAAAAGCCGTGTAGAGGCGAGTCACTCGGGATCGGTGCCAACGAGGAAACCCGAGCGCTTCCGAGACGTCCAGTAAGAGCTGCTCAAAGGAGACCACGCCCCTGCGGTTTAAAAGCACCGTCACCTTGGAAAAATGAGCAAAATGACAGCAGTTTTTTTTTTTAATATAAATCAAAAATGCAAAAAATGTCATTTTGCTTTTCATACTCAATAATTAGTCGCCAATCATAGGCGATACATACCAAATCCAGGTGTGAAAATCCAACTATTCGTAATAATTTCTGATTTCACAATAAATATCTACTTGGTACAAGACAGTCAAAAATCACCTAATGACCCACATGTTGATTCATCGAAAGACAAAAGTGGGCAGTTTACCTTCCGCGGTGCGCTTGGACTAGGATGCACGACCGTGACCAGACGGGGTCGCTCGGCGCTCTCTTCTGCGTGTCGCCCGTGGAAGAGCGGCAGGTGAGGGGCCGCCCCCCGGATCTGTCCTGGGTGGTGGCGAGCGTGCCAGAGGGGTGGCGGTAGAGGAGGCGCAGCAGCACCCGTACCACCGCCCGTACGCTTCAAAGAAGGGCAGAGGGCTGCTAAAACAAAGGAATGTACGGTATTAGGACTGCTGCAGTTTTGGGAAATCCGGTTTTGAAAGGACCCTCGGAACCAAAATGGCTGATGTCCCGTGTCTTTACAGGCATTGCTTCCTGAGATTTTTTTGTGGTGCTCCTCATAATAGACATGCTGAACAAATTTCATGTCACTCAGTTAAAGCCTCAAGGACTGAACTTTCAAAAAGATCCAAAAATCCGGAGTTGACCACCCCACCTTAAAAAAAAAAACCCTCAAAACTCAGCTCTCCAAAATTGTTTTTGTTTGATGATCACTTGCACATTTTTAAAAAACGTTCTTATGAGTTTTTATAATAGTTGACTGCTTTGTCTGTTTTATTGTACCTCGGTAAAGTGACTATTTCTACTCAATACTTAAAATCCTCAATAACAAATCATCCTGATCAGATTTGAGATTTTTTTTTCCATTGCATGGAGTGCAAGTGGTGCCATTTGAGAGACTTCTTGTGCTCCCAGATAAATTATTTAAGCTTTCTTAAGACGGGCTCACACACACACACCTGAACAAAAGCTACCTTGACTTGGATAAATGCATCATTAATGAAGCTTTGAGGACATGCCACATCTTTCACTTTAGACCACAAAGTGTGTGTGCGTGTGTGTGAGAGAGAGTGACGGGTGTGTGTAAGTGGGGTTGTAACAAGAGTGCTTGTGAGCGTGTTGTGTGTAAGTGGGGTTGTAACAAGAGTGCTTGTGAGTGTGTTTGTAATGTATGAATGTTCACATGTTTGTGTGTGAGCGTATTTGTAGCGGAATGTTCACATGTTTGTGTGTGAGCGTATTTGTAGAGTATGAGGGTGTGTGCGTGTGCGTGTGCCAGTGTTGCTGAGAATGAGTGTGTGTAGATGTGCGTGATAGTGTGTGTGTGTGTGTGTGCGCGCGCGCGCGCCAGTGTTGGTGAGAATGAGTGTGTGTAGATGTGCGTGATTGAAAAGTGCGAGTTGCTTCTGACTAACAACACAAACCCCATTTTGTTCGATACTCAAAAAAAAACTGCTTGTCTACGAATTGTTTCCTTTGCCCATGTATGACATCGATAGTTGTCGGTTACGAAAAGCAAAACTCACCTGTGGGTCTCCATTTCCTTGCCGGGTCGCAGCCATACCGAGCCTTCACAGGTGGTGCCATTTCTGAACAAAACAAGACCGAAATAAGTGAGAACCAAGTTCCGATTGAAAACAAGTCTCTGACGTCACCCCCTCGCGAGCTGAATGTAACAACGGCTGGCGTGACGCGGTTGCCATGGTTATTTGTCAAGCAAGACGGCTTCGCAAAGGAAGTATCGTTAATTGTTACTTCAAATTAAGATACTCGGACGGTAAAAGTTCTCAGTATCGTCAAACATTATGCTAGTCATAGCAGTAAAATGATTATTCAAACTAGCAAGAATTCAACGTTGAATGTGCATTGTGGCGCTTATGACAAGCGAATGTATTTTATTTTGAAGTTAACTTGAGGATATGTAATATTTTCACTTTCGTCACTAAACACGAGCGTGCACATTCATTTAATCTTAGAATGAAATGTAAATGTTCATAATATTGCACTAAAAGTTGTTGGGTAATTTACTGGGCTGTTTCTTATTGACACAACAAAGGTGCAATCCTTTGCTAACATGCTCTGGGATGCAATATGTGACGCACTGGGTGGTCTTTTTTTAATTAAGGCCCCCTTGCCACCAGCTTCATTGTTCTGTCTCCTGGGCTACTGTTAATATTGGATTAGGAATTCTTTTCTTGACCTCCCGGATCTATATCCTGTGCTTTGACTATTCAACCGTAACGTAAATACGAAAATATATTGAAGTGACCTGCGTAATGTAACCACGTCTTTCAAAAAAATATATAAACATGTTAGTGGCTTTTTTGGGGGGGGGGGGTGAAAATGAAGCTCAAACATTTGAACTCGAAACAATCGTATTTTATCTACTAGGTATTTACTTGGTTGCAATATTGCCATTTCACCAACAGATGGCGGAAGTGCGCCAAAACAGCCCGCAGCATCTCTGAAATTACACATTAAATGGGGTTTGGCAAGATAGTTTGTAGCATTTTACACATAATCGACTACTGGCTATTAAAATATTTAAAACCCCCGCGCCGCCGCCCCTCCTCCCCACACACACACATTTTATGACAGGTCAGTCTTGTAGGTCAGTCTTTTATATTCTTTACCTTTCACCTCGTGGCCCGTTTGTGTGCGTGTGTCTTTTTTTTTTTTCCTGCATGTGTATCTCACACCTGTTTATATCACACACACACACACACACACACACACACACACACACACACACACACACACACCGGAGTCCAGACAGGCTGCTGCGGGACGGGCAGAAGGACACGAGTGCGGGTGTGTGTGTGTAACATGTGGTGTGAGGTAACAATGCTCAAATGGAATGGTAACTGGTTATTTATATGGCAATGATGACTTTTTCTTGATACTTGTTGCAGAAATGGTGCTTTTTTTTTTTTTTTTCCTCCAGATTTGGACTTTTGATTTTGGACTTGAGTGATAATGTTTGAACTTGGACCCACAATTTAAATCCTGCCCTCATCTTCGGTTTCATAGATTGGATACTGATCAGTATAAATTAGGTTGCTTGAAAGAAAAAAAAATTGGGATTAAGAAAAATGGTTTGTGCAAATGTGGTCCAAGTCTGATGTGAAATTCCATTGGCCTCATTTTCTGGGATCTTGGCCCAGTGTTGCACTGATGAATCGGGAAAAGTGTTTTCGCGGGGGGGAGGTCAAGCTTTCGCCAGTTCTAACTGTTCTGTGCTGTTTTGTTAGACAACTGGTGGAATGTGACATGCTTGAGAACTTGCGAAGCCGGAGTTAAATAATGACACGCATGCACACACACAGAAGGCGTAGCCCTTTGAAGGTTGCGTCAAGTTTTTGTATCAGGTTTTACCAGGGACGGCGGGCGGGCAGCCACATGACCACTTCCCACACTTGGGTGAGCCTGTCATGTTCAAGGCATGAAAACAAACGCGTGAATGCACACACGCTGGCACACACACGGCCTGTAGAGGTTATTAGAGGGCAAACAAGTGCAGAACGAAGAAGTAGTAATATTAATGTCTCTTACTCTCCAAAGAAATTGTTCAGCGTTCTCTAATTGCCCGTGCCACATACATGGCCGACGACATCATCTGCAAGGGGAGATCTTGCAGTTTACTTGCCAATGTTAGGCACCGACCCCACGGAGTCTATTTCTATTCCTGCAACGTCAAGCACGGCGTACTGTGCCTCCAGCCTCCCTGATACTAATACAAAGGAGGGATGCCTCTCGGATTGGCCGGGAAAAGTCTATTTCCAGCCCACAACGGCGCATTAAATTGCCGGCACCCCGTTTACACGCAATTCGACCAACTCAATGATTTGCACAGTTCGACTACGCTTTGCGCTCTGAACGAAAACAACCAATTCCTCCCACATACTACCTACGATTCCCTCCTACTCGAGAGGGATGTGCATCTCATAAAAGATGACGTGATACGTACCTCGACATATCGGTTTGAGTTGAGGCATTTGCATCTTTTAAATCAAAACAGATGTTGCCGTTCAAAAATTTTTGGTTGCACCCCTACTCCTAGAACAGCTGAACTTTATTTGGGATTTGCTGTGTGGTGACGCATTTCCCTTTTTTTTTTTCTCAAAATTAGTTGTACAGAAAATAGGAAACGTTTTGCTGCCATTTGTATCTGAACAAGGGTGTGTATACTTTTTTTTTAATACACCCACTGTTTCTGAGTCTTGATCCGAGCATACTGCTGTGCTCAACATGCACAACTGAAACCCCCCCTTTTTTTTCATCACAGTGCCGATGATGAAACCTGTGGAGAAATTCTTCAGAATTAAGGTTTCTACTATTCACGTTATGTGACCTCAAGATAAAAAGTCAGCACCTCCACTCACCGCCTTCCTCCTCCCGTGGCAGCCTCTCCTCGCGTAGCCTGATGACGTCACGAACAGCCGGTGTCGACCCAGCCAGTAGGAACGCACCACTTCCTCCTCCTCCTCCTCCTTCGTCATTCTGCATTCTGTCTTTTGCCTTCACTCTCACACACACACACACACACACACACACTCACTCCTTTTCACGCCCGTTTTCACACACACACTCTCCTCATTCCTCCAGCTTTCTGCAGCCATCATGGCCGAGGCGTTCGTGGGCACGTGGAACCTGAAAAGCAGCGACAACTTTGACGAGTACATGAAGCAACTGGGTGAGTCTGTTTTCTGTGAGGCGCGCGTGTGTGTGTGTGTGTGTATATACCTGTGGTGTGTGTGTGTGTGTGTGTGTGTGTGTGTGTGTGTGTGTGTGTGTGTGTGTGTGTGTGTGTGAGAGAGCACATGCTGCTCACCGGTGTGTGTGTGTGTTTGCGCTTTTGCATTTATTCAAAGGGCATACAAGATGGAGAATGGAATAAGGGTGGGAAAGACTGAGGAGGAGGAAGGGTGGAGTGGGTGAGCGAGCACATGGCCCGAATGTGGTGGGGAAGGGCCCTGAATGCCCCCCCCCCACCCCCGCTTGCCCCACTATGGGAGAATGGTCAGGAGGCGGTCACACACTTACATCTGAAAGGCAGCCATTGTAGGGGAAACGTAGGAGAGCTCGCACTTTTAAACGCCGCTTCGAGAGGGATGGAGCACGTGATTGCAAATAGGACATCACTGGACACTTGATTAGGCACGGCAATGCCAGACTTGTGTTGACCGGTGACGTCATTGTGTTCGTCGCGGTGGGCGACTTGGTCCAACTTCTTAAAATAAACGCCATCTGTGCCCCATTTAAATATTTAAGGAAGGTAAATTTTCTAGATTATAAAAATCAGCGGGGGAAAAAAAAGTTTTTTTTGTCCCAGTGGACATATTGTACAATATACATAAAATATTGTGCGCAGAATACTGCCTAAATATCTAATAACAGTGTGTGTGTGTGTGTGCGTGTGCGTGTGCGTGTGTGTGTGTGTGTGTGTGTGTGTGAGTGAAAGAGAGAGGGAAGGGGCCCTGTGCACCATGGGGCGGGGCTTCAAGGTTATTTGCAAGCGCTGACCTCAGGGCATTTTTATAATTGACTCGTCTGCGCCCATCGCCGCGGCACCGGCAGCCTTTCAACCCCCTTGCGGCAATTCTCTTGATCAATGAGCCACTAGATTACACCCACACACACACACACACACACACACACACACACACACACACACACACACAAAAGGCAAAGTGATCACTCTTGTGGTGTGTTTAGGTGCGCACATGTCATTTAGCGTCTGCACAGATGATTGGGGTTCCCGCAGAACATACTGCACACAAAACACAAGTCACTACATGACTGACGCTCACGAAAAGGCTCCCTATTTCCCCGCCACCTAAACGCAACCCTCCGCCGCTGCCGCAGGTGTGGGCTTCGCCATCCGCAAGGTGGGCAACCTGACCAAGCCCACCACCATCATCTCGATGGAGGGCGACACGGTGACCGTCAAGACGCAGAGCAACATTAAGAACACAGAGCTCTCCTTCAAGTTGGGAGAGGAGTTCGACGAGACCACCGCCGACGGCAGGAAGGTCAAGGTGGGTCTGACGAGACCCCTTCAATGCAACGTGTAGCTTCAAAACGTCACTTGGGATTATTATTCACGATATTTATCGATGGGCGACACGTTGCACGACTTGTTAGCACGTCCCCTTCAGTTTGCATGTTCTCCCCGTGCCTGTGGGTTTTTTTTCCGGGTACTCAGCTTTCCTCCCACATTCCAAGAACATGCATCGTATGTTGATTGGATGCTCTAAATTGTCCGTAGGTGTGAACGTGAGCATAAATGGTTGTTTGTATATGTGCCCTGCAATTGTCTGGCGTACCCCGCCCACTGCTCAAAGACAAATGGGATAGGCGCCAGCACGCCCGCGACCCTCGTCAGAGGATGCATGGATATTTATAAACATGGTTTTCACTGAGAGCAGGTGAAAAAATGTGTCAAGACTTTGGTGTGGTGTTTGGAGAAAAAAAAAGTGAAATTATATGTAACTTCCTTTAAAGTTGTTGATATTTACCGTATTTTCCGCACTATAAGGCGCCCCTGAAAGCATTCAATTTTCTCAAAAGCCGACAGTGCGCTTTATCATCCGATGCGCCTTCTGCATGGATCAATATTCTGATTTCTTGGATGTATTTTCAATATTCTGTAAAGCGCTTTGTTACAGCTGCAGCGGTCGTGAAAGCTCTATATCAATAAACCTGTAGTGTATTTATATTCCCTTTAGCATAGCTCCATCTAGTGGATGCATAACGCAACCGTAGCCACAATTGCAGCTTCTATATGTGCCTTATAATGCGGTGCGCCCTATATATGAAAACAGTTTTAAAATTCATTCATTGAAGGTGCGCCTTATACTCATAAGTGCCTTATAGTGCGGAAAATACGGTCATTTTCTTTAAAGTAAAACCCCAAATCAACGCAAAAACCACATCTGCACTAGCATGTATCTCCCACCTTAATTCTTCAACTTTGTGCGTAGTCCGTGGTGACAATAGACAACGGCAAGATGGTGCACATCCAGCGATGGGATGGCAAGGAGACCAGCCTGGTGCGCGAAGTTAACGGCAACGCCCTCACACTGGTCAGTGGCCTCAAAATCAAACCCAAGCAAGTCCGTTTTTTTTGTTTTGTTTTGTTTTTCTAAAACGTGCTGTGTCTGTTTTGGAAACAGACGCTGACGGTGGGCACCGTGGTTTGCACACGCAACTATGAGAGGGCGGAGTGAAGACCCCCCCCCCTCCCCCAAAAAAAACATACTTTGCATCTACAGAGCCCCAAAACCTCAACGAGTCAGCTCATGTTTAACTTCATCTATTGGAAGTCAGTATTATTTAAACTACCTGTGGAACCCCGCCCCGCCCATCCCATCCCCGTCCCCCGCTTTTGAGAACCTCTCCTGGTACAAACACTGAAAATATTCCAATGGGCTGTTGTCGTTTTTCTTTGGAGTATCCCAATTTTTTTTTCCTTTGTGTGGCATTGTGTTGCATGGAGTCCACTTGAAAACCTGCAAATGTTTTCAACCGAAACATTCGGGAGTCATTAAAAGAATCCCGAACTGACGCCAAATACTGTATGTGGAAACTGTGATTTATTTTCTAGCACTGTCGCAGCTGTCCACTGAAAAATGACTCATCTCCCAAGTCGACAGCCAAAAAAAACCGCAAGCTTCTCCCAAGTTGATGGTCAAACAAAATCCATAAAATCCCCTCCAAAAGCTTTAGCTACAAACAAAAGCTGCTCTGTTGAAAACACTCGACTTGTAAACACCATGAAATAAAAGCTGGAATTCCAAATTCCAATCCCAAATTCATCTTTTGATCTGAAACCCAAATGTCTTGAGTTTACAACAAAAACAAAGAAAAAATTGACATTGCCGTTCCAATACTTTTGGAGGGGACACTATCTGCAAGTCGCTGCCCCCCCCCACCCCCCAAAAAAATGTCCCAGTCCAAACTGGCCGTCGAAAAACATTCATCTCCAACGCGTGTGCCGAAGCTCAAATTTGCTTTTCATTTAAAAAAAATAAAATACAAAAAGATTGACACCTTTTTTTTTTTTTTTTTAACTCATTCACTCCCAAAGACATTCTTAAACGTCTTTTCAGACTTGGTCCAGGATTGGCTAGTACTGAATGAGTTAATTGGAACGCAAGATCATGTTTTGTACACTTGCATCCAAAACAAAGCGGCCCCCAGTTGGCAAAGCGCAACTTGTGTCCGCAAATGGAATTTGGCGGAGGCCTCTGAAGTGATCCCAAAGAGTGCGACCGCACTTTCCATCCTATAAATAACCCCCGAGCAGCTCCTGCGCTACGTCCTGTACTGTATGCGTGTGCCCTGGCAAGGTGAAGGGAAAAAATTCCAGGTGTTTTTCCACGTGATTGTTCTCCGGCTCACTGGAGAGGGCGTCATGTGGTCACCACGCGCTGGTAACTCGATGCAAGGTAAGACAGACGGCCCGACACTCTGCAGACACTTTAAGTACACTTACAGTAGATACGCTGCACTGTTGTGGTTGTTTGTACCCAGGCGTAGCAAAATATATATTTTTTTTACACTGTGCATTGTAATAGCAATGAAGTTTCAGGGAAAAAAAAATTCCACCTGTTGCTTTTGTTCTGATAAAAATCTGATGTACTCGGGGAGAAGTACATCAGATTTCGGGGAGAAAAAAAACAAGGGCAGATTCAAAATCTGCGCAAAAAAAAAGTTACTTGCATTGCATCTCTGGTTAAAAAAAAATTGTAAAACTTTGCTGAGCAGCGCTATTTAATTACCAATTTATACTTAAAGCTTTTTTTTCCCCCTCTTTATTTTTGAAAAAAAAATGAAAGCTGTTTCTGATGAGGTAACATTTAAAATTAATGATAAAATATTTGCATAGAGGATGCGCATGCCAATTTTAATTAAAAATTCATCTGAAATTCCAAAACTTGAATCTTATTAATTTTTATGGATTGAACCTCCCTTAGTCCCTTAATAAGCGCACGACAATTTGAGGGATGAAGTGAAAGAAAATTATGAAAATTGCACATGCTGGCCCTTTTTTTTATTTTTAAATTTAAATTGTTTTTAAATTATAATGATCTTAAAAAGCGCAATGTCAATGTGTTTCATAAAAATTGAAACGTGGCATCGTGAACATCTAAATATAACACAGCACTTTTTTTTCACACAGGCATGGGTTCATTCGCAATTGTTTTTTTTAAACCCATGAAGTGATGTCGGAGCAGTGTACAAATATTTTTTTTTAAACGAGGATCTGGCTGGGGTGTTTCAAGCCCCTTTTTTTTTTTTTTTTGGGTGGATGGCCAACTGTGTGGAAGAAAATATTCCTTGTAACCACTGTGGGATTGTCACACCCTCTTTCACGGTATTATACACACACACTCACGCATGCATTGTTCATCTGTAATTGACGTTGTGGGAAATCCACTTCCTGCCTGTAAGCAGACGCTAAAACGCTAAAGAACATAAGAACTAAATAAAACAAAATACCTATGCATTGTTCATCTGTAATTGACGTTGTGGGAAATACACTTCCTGCCTGTAAGCAGACCAGGCTAAATCGCTAAAACGCTGAAGAACACAAGAGCTAAATAAAACAAAATACCCACAAAAATCTCTTCCCGTGATGTTTTCTTCATATTCTGGTGACTGGATTGCAACCTCTGTGGTTGTTTCCCAGTTCCCAAAGAGCAAAACAAAACCAAAAAAAGCTAACTTGCTATTTTGCTGAGCGAATGCTAATGATTTTTTTCCACAGATTAGGACAACGAGGCTGTGCAAAAAACGTCGTTTGTTACATGTTCCGACGGGCCTTTTTTGCAAATTACAGTCGAGGAATCTTGAAGCACATTTTTCCACAAGCACTGTGTAACATCTGGAAAGAATCAACTGTCACTGGGAAGGTAAATTCTTTGTGTGTTCTAATACTTGGCCAATAAATCAGATCTTTTTTTTTGGGGGGGGGAAGTTGGGGGGGGATTCATTGCGAAGTATAACCTTCAAATGGTTGCATTTCAAAAGAGCATTGTGTTAAAACATGGAGGAAGTGTGGGTATTGGCCATACTACACTTCCTGTTTGCGCCTTGACTGCTTCCTGTGTGTGTGTGTGTGTGTGTGTGTGCGTGTGCATGTGTGTGTGTGTGTGTGTGTGTGTGTGTGTGAGACTTGTTGGGCTGTCACCAAAGTTCAGAAAGTGGAGCAGTGTAAAACTCAATGAGGATTTTTACTCATTGGTGGTTGCCTCCGTCATCTTGCTTACAGTTAATCAGGTTACATGGGGCCAGATAACAAAATGGAGGACACGTGTGTTTTGTCTTTTTAGCAATTTACAGTTTGTTTGTTTTTTTAATTTAGAACATGAAATGGGGACATTTGGTTTTAGCCTCGGAAACCAAAAATACTCTGAAACAAAATTTGTCTTGTCGGGGGGGGGGGAAGCTTAGGTCTAGGGAATTTTGAGTCTATGGATCTGAAGGTACCAGAACTTAACATGAAACTGCAATGGGTACTATTGGCTTGAGTGCACGTTTAATTTCCAGGGCCTGAAACCAAAATACTCACAACCATTAAGTTTGTCTTGTCAGCAACATGACGAGGGGGGGAAAAAAATAACGTAACAATCAGATAAATATCCAAATTTGAAACGTAAACACGTCCTCACTGCCGTGGCGGCCATTTTTTGCCCGTGAGCAGCCGTCTCAGCTGCGCTTGTGCGATTTGTGCTTCTTGTGTTTCTTCTTGTGCTTGTGGGCGTCATCCCGCTCGTGACATCTCCTCTTGGGTTTGCACTCGCTGCCGTCGCTGGTGTTGTCGTCACTATCTGACCCTTTCCTCTCGCGCTTCCTCTTCTTCATCTTCTTCTCCTGGCGGGTGAAAGAAGAAAAGCGTCACGTGTGCATTTCTTACTTTTATGACGATGGCTTGGGACCGAGCCCGGCTCCAAAAAGGATCTATACCGGAATCTTCCATCACACTTCCGGCTGGCTATCATAGTGCCCGAATAGTGAAATTGTGATGTCGCCGAGGTTTACTGTACCTTCTTTTTCTTCTTCTTGTCTTTCTCTTTTTGTGCTGCAGCTGCAGCTGGCTGCTGCTGCAGCTGCTGTTGTGGCTCTTCGTCGCCCTCATCAGGCACAAGAGCGTACTGCAAACCGGGTGCAGAGAAGCAGTCCTTTGTGAAGTGGCCTTAAAATAAAAAAATACAGGAGCGACTTTAGATAATAAGGTGGCTTAATTGGAAATACTCTCTTTTTTTTCAGAGCACCTTTGCAGCCACATTTTGTGCAGGTGGTGTTGAGCACGGCCTCCAGTGTGATCCTGTTGCCCGTGTGGTCTCGGAACTGCCTCCGCCGCCTGGCGTCCTGCCTGCACGCGTCGACATGTTCATAACACGTGCGGGTAAGACACAACAAAATGAACATACTCTGCCATAACGTTGTTAGGGTCCAAGTCCCGGCCAGTTCCCTGATTGACAGCTTTCATGGAGAAGGACAGCTTGATTTTCTCACCATTTATCTGACAAGCAAAAAAACACACTTGAGAACTGTCATCGCATCATGCTTGATCGCAACAGGTATATTATCCAGAAAAAAAGTTCCTAGAACCGTAGGTGTGGTTGTTTTGGGGTTTTTTTTTCCGGTGGAAATGTGCTTCAAAACTAAAAGTTCCCAGAACTTTAGGTGGAAATTTGGCAACACACATTGGGAGCTTTTAGGACAGACCTTTTAGTCCCTAGAACTTTAGAGTGAAAATGCAGTTACAGAGACAATGGGCACTTTTAAATCAAAACACTTTTTAGTCCCTGGAACAGAAAATACACAGAACCAAATGTCCCCCAAACCTTGCTGGAAATGCAATGGTTACTTCTGGTTCCAGAGGCAATTCAGTCGGGTGACTCTTTTTGTCCTGGAACTGAATGTACACAGAACTAGAAGCATTATGTGGAAATACCATAGGTCCTTTTGAAAAGTACACAGAAACATTAGTTCCCAGACCTTTAGGTGGAATTGCAATGGCCACTTTGAATGCCTCAAACTAAAAGGTATGAGAAACTAAAACAATCCGAACCAAAAGTACCAAGAACTTTCCCCATTATTGTGTGCATGGACATGTGTGTAATTACCTCCCTCCCGATGACTTTAATCCATACTTTCTCTCCAACATCGACAATTTCTGCGGCGCTCTCGATACGCGTGGCTGACATCTCACTCACGTGTACCAGACCTGAAAGTACATACAGATTGTCAACAACAACAAGAAAGAGACTCCATTTCGTCTTCATTTTTGGCTCTTGCATTGCTTTCCTGACAACTGGCAAGTCTGCAGTTTGTGCAACAGTGCATTGGAACGCCAACCATTATAAAACCCAACCTATGTCTTGATACCTTAACAATTGTTGAAACCATGCATCATAAACTACATTAACTGTTTCCAAATCATTCTCTCAAAGTGGTCAATCTCCAACTTCCCACCAGTCATCACTGCAGCATGAGTCATTTCCACAAGTCTGCACCCTCCTTTCGGGACTTTTACTTCCTCAAATCTTTTTTAAAAATGTATGTATTGCACGAAATCCATTCAAAGCACGCAGTCATCACTTCCCCGCGTCTCACTCACCTTCCTTTTTGTAGCCCGGCAGGCGGACAAAAGCTCCGTAGGTCTGCACGGAGACCACTTCTCCCTTGGAAATGCTGTAGAGCGGCGGGAGGCCATCCAGTCCCGCGGGTTCCGGCTCACTGTCGGACATCACGACTTTTCTACCTATATCGATAATATCGTTCGAGAAAATTGGATTTAGAAATCCCCCTTCACCACAAGCTAACGTCAACACGATACTGGCTAAAACTGAGAATAGCCCGATTTAAATACAGTTGTACATAGCTCAAATGTTTGTAGACGATTGTGTCAAGTGGATCAAGCACGCCGATATAGGTCACATCGGGTGCAAAATCAACATGAAACACTCACGCTTTGTGTTCGCGACAGCTAACTTCGGTTTCACTTCCGGGCAAAGACAATCTGACAACAACCAGTGTAGCCAATCATCATACCACTTCATTTATTTTGTCCAATCAGAGAACTGGTGGCTAGCCTTACTTCCGGTTTCTGCAAGTCTTTTAACCAATGAGATCGCAGGCGCTGTAAATCTTGAAATGCTTCGCTATGTATATATGAATCCGTTTATTGTTTTATTTCGCCGTTTTCTTTATATTGCATGTCCTGATCAAGTTTTTAAACAATGCTGATCTATGGATTGCTGTACACAGGTCGACGTCATTGGTAATCGTCGCCGCCTTTGTTCCTACCAATCAGAGAACGCTCAACTAGTTCATTTCCGCTTCCGGGTACATACCGCCGACCTCAAGCCGTGCAGCCAATCAGCACGGCGACTGCAAATCTCGACCAATCACAACACTCGAACTCGCGGAACTACTTCTCTCTGTTCTCTCCCGATAGCTGTCCGCTTATACACGACCGTGAAAAGGCGGTCATACATTCGTGTTTGTATAGTTAAAGGGACATAATTTCAAAGTTTTAGACGATTTTGTCGAAGAAATTAGCATGATTGAGCCGAAGAAGAGAGTGGCGGACATGGCGGTGGTGCCCTCTGCTTCCTTGAAGAGACCCCGGACGGAGCTGGTGGCGGCGGCCCAGTCTCAGCAGCTCGTGGCCGCGGTACTGTTTTGAGTTTCCGAGTCGCATGAAAATGACGACTAAGCTCGTTAGTTTATGTTTGTAACTTAATAACTGTACGGACTAGAATTTGAAATACGGTCTCGGCGGTTGTTCGTTGTATGGGAGGCTAGGAGTAAGATAGCCCACCAGTGCAACCTAGTGGTGCAAATGAGTAGTTAGTAGTTGTAAATATTTCAAATGGATTAATGTGATTTGACTCCTCTAGGGGCCCCCGAGGTCGTCCAGCCTGCAGGCCCCCATCATGTTAATGTCGGGCCACGAAGGCGAAGTGTATTGCTGCAAGTTTCACCCTAACGGAGCCACCCTGGCGTCGTCCGGCTTTGACAGGCTCATATGTAAGCCGTCACACACAAATGGCATGAAGGCGTTACTGTGCGAGGAAGACATGAGCTATGTTTGTGTCTGCAGTGATGTGGAATGTGTATGGCGACTGCGACAACTTTGCAACGCTGAAGGGTCACAGCGGAGCAGTGATGGAGTTGCACTACAACACAGACGGAAGGTCACTCCACTCACCTACTTTGAAATGATCGCCCTTATTTAAAAGCATACTTTCAAACCCCAAAACATGACTTAGAACTGTTAAATTGTTCCTAAAACACCAGATGAAATTGAAAAAGTAGCGTGTATTTTTTTTTCCTGGTCAGCCTGCTGTTCTCTGCGAGCACAGACAAGACGGTGGGCGTGTGGGACAGCGAGACGGGCGAGCGGATCAAGCGGCTGAAGGGCCACACCTCCTTCGTCAACACCTGCTACCCCGCCCGCAGGGGACCCCAACTCGTGTGCACCGGCAGCGACGACGGGACCGTCAAGGTGAGGTGGCGTGGAATACGATGCCGAATGTATATTTAAAAAAAACATGTAATGTCTTTAATAAGATGTAAAATATCACTTCTCAGTGTTGTGCTTTCTCAAAACAGACATTAGCATTGTAATTTAATAGAACGTAAAGAATGAAACAATCTTGAATTATGATTTTGGCCACCAGGGGAAAGTGTATAATTCTTATGTAATAAATAAAATGAAGACAGTCCCTTTTAAACCCAGTAAATTGCATTACAATGACTTTTTTTTTCCATGGCACATAAAGACTATGTGCCTGTAAGTATTTTTGAATATGCTTCAAGGATTATAAATACTGCAACATTGATGCTCGTTTCATTGTCCCTTGTATGTTTTTTTTCCTCAATATCTGTTAGCATTAAGCTAGCAGAAGGCATAATTGTGATTTTGAATTGACGTTGTATTCATGTTGTTTGCTGAAGTCAACGCGTACAATTTTCTCTTTTTTCTGTGTTATTTAGAAACTCCAATTTTTGCTCACAACTCAAGACAAAAAAATAAAAAAAAGATGTCCGAGCTGTGGCTCATATCTTAAAAAACTCTCAAATGGGGGTCACTCGCAATTCGAGGTACCACCGCATCATGAATTCTTGTACGTATTGCGTTGCAGTTGTGGGACGTGCGCAAGAAAGGCGCCATCCACACTTTCCAGAACACCTACCAGGTGCTCGCCGTCACCTTCAACGACACAAGTGACCAAATTCTGTCCGGAGGCATCGACAACGACATCAAGGTAACAAGGCTTGCTCTTGAATCCGTCATAGCTTGATTGTTGTCAACGTTTAAAAAATAAAAAATAAAATGTTTTAATTAATCGACCCATTCATCCCAAATACCGAAATCAGCATTTCCGTTTAAAAACAAAAAAAAGATGAGCATTTGTGCGTTGCAGGTGTGGGACCTGAGACAAAACAAGCTGTTTAAAAAAAACAAAAAAAACAACAAAAAAAAACGTTTTAATTAATCGACCCATTTATCCCAAATACCGAAATCAGCGCTTCCGTTTAAAAAAAAAAAAAAAAAAAGGATGAGTATTTGTGCGTTGCAGGTGTGGGACCTGAGACAGAACAAGTTGATGTACAACATGCACGGGCACGGTGACTCCGTGACCGGACTCAGTCTCAGTTCGGAGGGATCTTACCTTCTCTCAAACTCTATGGACAACACCGGTAATCTTTTTACGCGATGGAAAAAAAAAAGACTCCGCCAGTCTCTCTTTTCATGCATGTGTTTTGACCGTTGCGTATCTCTGCACGCAGTGCGTATTTGGGACGTTCGACCTTTTGCGCCCAAGGAAAGATGTGTGAAGATTTTCCAGGGCAACGTACACAACTTTGAAAAGGTATTGATTTAATATTCACGAGAAGGATGGTCAATACCGTTCTCTCTGCGTTAGATTTAGTATTTTTCACAGAGTCAGTCATCGGCTAGCAGTGTGTGTCTTTTATTTTTTATTTTTTTTTCTTGAAAAAAATCCAACAATGAGTGATGTTTTCTTCAAGAATCTGTTGAGGTGCTCGTGGTCCACTGACGGTAGCAAAATAGCCGCGGGATCAGCTGACAGGTGACACACACACACACACACACACACACACACACACACACACGCGCGCTCACGCACCAATTCTGCGTCGGAAGCTGCGGGGAAATGAAATGTCGACAAGAGAGCGACGGGAATTCACTCAAAAAAGTGGCACGTTTTTGTGTTAAGATTTGTGTACATTTGGGACACCACATCACGCCGCATCCTCTACAAGCTGCCAGGACACGCCGGCTCGGTCAACGAGGTGGTCTTTCATCCCGAGGAGCCCGTCGGTAAGTTGGCAGTTGCGCCCGCCGACGTTTGAGGGTACAGACGAGCCTCGTCCGATCGCGATTCGGCAACACTTGCTCTTTGGGAATTTTTCTGGAGTGCATTAGAACTACATTTAGTGGCTGAAAATTCATCTTAAAAATATTTTGTGTGCTGTATTTGAAAATTTGAAGCAATTTTTTTGCAAATACTTTTTTTTCTTTAAAATTTGTCTTTAAAATAAAATGACTTTGTAATTGAAAGTATATCACATTTTTGAGATTTTTTTTTTGTTTGAAAATATACAGCTTTTTTTCAGAATATACAATTTTTAGAAGAAACCTACAACAGTTTTTCAAAAATATGACCGTTTTGGGAGGACGTGACTGTTGAAAATCTGAGTTTTTTGATTTTTTTTTTTCTTTTTGGAAACGTATTCCTCTCCTGAAAATAATTTTGAGGGGGGAGAAAATAGTACCTATTTGTAAATATAACTTGTGGTCAAATGTGCAGTTTTTGGAAAAAAAGATTTCCAGAGACAACTTATTTTGAAAATATGCTACTTTTGGGGAAATATGACTTTTCATTGAAAATACAATTTCAATTTCAGGACTGTGTAACCTTCTCAGAAATATAAATGTGTATTTTTTTCCCCCAAAAAGAATTGTAAGAAATATGCAACTTTTACAGTCAATACTTATTGAACTAATCTACTTAGGGAATTTTTCTAAAACTGCTGGAAACATGTTGATGATTTGGGAGGGAATTTGTATTTTTGCTAGCGCTCATTCACGGTCTCAGTGGCCACAACCTTTTTTTTTTTTGGGCTGTGAGCATTGTTGAAGTAGATTGGAACTGTAATTCCATGTGTAAATATTGAGTGTATCTGCTTTTCCAGCGGCTTGCTTATGTTGCGCTTTCTTTGTCTCCCCAGTGCTCTCTGGTGGCAGTGATAAACGGCTGTACATGGGAGAGATTCAGTAGCAGATGTGCGCGTGTGCAATTGTGTGAGTGCGTAAGAACATCGGCAATGATTTTTTTTTTTGTAACGCTTATGTTTTTGTTCTTTTTAATAAAATTCACTGATTCTGTAAAGGAAAAAAAAAGTCTTCTCTTGTTTTATCAGTCACCCCCAAATGAACTTTCAGAAGATTACCAGAAGTTGTTTTTTTTTTTTACCATGACTTGAAATGTTAGCTATCTCTATCTTGAAGCCTGTATAAGAAACAATTAGATCAAATCGTAACTTTCTTCCTTTGTGAAGTACTCCACAAGCAACCAAACTAATGTGAACCCGAGTTTAATTCAGATCTGGTCCAGTTTGAAAGCCATTTCGCTATGTCTGTGCAGGCTGTCAACTGTGATGTCCGGATCATTTTTTTTGTGATTCATGTTTCTAAACTCAATCCAGGTATGATCCAATTTGAAAGTCGCTGATAGTGTAGTGGTACACTCGCCTTACTTGTGTGCGGGCAGCGTGGGAACCGATTCTCATTCAGTGTGAACGTGGCTGCGATTGGTCGATTGTCTCTATATGTGCCCTGCGACTGGCTGGCGACCAGTTCAGGTTGTAGTCAGCCTGAAATCAGCTGGTATAAACTCCAGCAACTCCCCGCGACCCTCTTCAGGATAATTGGAATAATTCTCAAACTAAATTTAATCTGGATCTGGCGCAGTGTGAATCGAATGTTCTGTGTCTGCTATAACGTGTCATGTTTACCAACTTTAAATGACTGATCCAAGTTGAGTGTCATCTGCTGTAGGCACAATCTGTAAATTTAAATGTCTGTGGGGGGGCGGTTTCCCTTCAAACTGCCTTAAGTGCCAAATTGAATTCCGACGTAAACATCCGCTGGTAGGGAAAATTGATGTGTTTGCATGATCTGCAAATGACAACGAAATCCAGAACCGAAAACATTGACGCACACCTGAACAGCCTGTCAGCACATCTTGATAGGTCATCCTGGCGGGTCCACTCCCACCCATCCAAACACCGGGCCACACAGAAAAATGAAACACTTTTTTTCAAAGCCGTTGACTATTTGATGCAGCTATTGGGAAAAAAAAATACCCTAAAGATTGTTTAAACATAGAAATATAAACACAATGTAGCCAGAAACGACAGATAGCATCTACTGGCAACAAATGACGGACAAACTGGTCAGCGCATCCCGATTTGTTCTGCTTTTATTTGAATCTGTATGCTTGCGTGTGTTCATCCATGTGCGCAACAGATGGAGCTGTATAACTTAAACACACACACACACACACACACACTACTTTTTTCTTTTTTTTTGTAATCTTTGATGTGTTTAGAAGGACATTTGAGAAGAGTTAGTAACTCGTAGGCTGCTCCGATCTGGTAGATGTAGTACATGCCCATGTACGACTTAAAAAGTATATATAATTTTAGTAGCTATACCAATTATGAGTCTTTGTTGCAGTGTAACTTTTTCTCAACACTTTTGATATATCAACCTCCAGGTAAGTGTTCTACCAGGCCTTTTATATTTGTGGTGGCTGATGATGTTGCTAATGATAGTGGAAGTAAAGCCGAGTAGCCAGCCGAGCGTCTCCCCGGGCCAATAGTGCGATCCCGCCCGGCCTTCCTCCATCCATCCCCGCTGCTGGGCGTGCGTGCATCCGCTCATCCGCGTCGAACCCCCCCCCTGCAGGATCCACGCAGCTCCTCCTCGAGGGGGTCGCCGCCCCCCTCCCCCCACTTCCACCACCTCTTCGCTCTCCCGCCCGCCTCTTTCCCCTCACTCCTCCGGTCCCTCCTGCGCACACCCCGGCATCGATTGTTGACAAAAGACGGCGAGGAGAGACGAAGCGAAGGAGCCTGTTTCCCCACTTGGCCCCCCCACCCCACCTCCCGGACACCCAAATCTAACCGTTTTTCTTGGAGGGTGACCGACGGAGAAGACGGAACGGGAAGGCGGCGAGCGGGGGAGCCTCACGGGGGTCCGCGATTGTTGTTCATCCGAACGTGGTGAGTCACAACGGGCTGCTTTGTGCGTCCCGTCGCCGGGCGGGGGGGGGGGGGCGAAGCCTCCGAAGACACGCTGCGGGTTCGTTCCCCGTGTGATCCCGCTATCATATGATGCTCATTTCTTTCTGTCTGCAGCCTGCGGCCCATCTTACACATTTCTCCCCTCTCTTTGTGCCTTTGTGTGTGTGTGTGTGTATGCATACCCCCCCCTCTCTCTCTCCCCTCCCTCCAGACCCTCCGGAAGGTGTGGCCGAGGTGATTCGCTTGTCGCTGGTGGTCTGACCGCAGCGGGCCCGGCGCGAAGCCCTCTTTCAAACCCACCCCACCTGGAAGAAGACGAAAATAAATTGAAAATACGAGCATAAAAAAAAAATGTGTCCCCCGCTGTGAGGGCCAGCACCAGTCGAGCTTCGGAGGAAAGGAGCGAGGAGGCGGCAGGAAGGGGCCTCCTCAACCCGGAATGGTGTGAGTTGACACGGCCAGGCAAGTCTGGATCTGAGCGGGGAGCCGTCCTTCCCCCGGAGCCTGCGCGGCCCGAAGCCGCGTGCCGAGCCCTCTAAGATGGGGAAGTGCGACGGGAGATGCACGCTGCTGGTCATATGCTCCCTGCAGCTGGTGAGTGCCTAACAACAAGCAACAATCCTCCGCTTTACTTCACATTCTTTGATTCGCACGAAACAAACAAACAAAAAAAATCCCCATGAGAGTGTTTATTGCGTAAAGTCAAAATCAAGTTTTGATCCCGAGCCGATCCAGTTTCCATGAAATTGTATGTTTTAAAAGTAGCATCAAACCTTAACTTTGATGCTGCTGGATTCAGTTTGAATCAAACGCAAACTTTGCATTCCGTCTTTCATGAAAGGTGCTTTTATGCAAAGTCTGTAAAATGTCAAAATGAATCCAGATTGGATCTATCTTGAATGAAATCTGCCATGATTAAACTGTCAAATGAATGTCAAACCAAGTTCACCCTAGATTGGATCCCGTTTGAATGACATTTGAACTTCATATTAAGGTCTAATACAGTCGTTCTTAACCTTGTTAGAGGCACCGAACCCTTCATTAGTGAAAAATAAAAATATGATTAAGAACCACTGGTTTAATGTTTACCTAACCCAATCTAAAGTTTAACCCAGTTTAGATGAAATAAGAAATTTCTATGGTCAAAATGTCATGCCCGATAAAGTGAAACCAGATGTGATCCACTTTCCATAACATTGTGTTTTGTATATGCAGAGTCTGGAAAATATAATGTGTAATTTAATCTAGATTGACTCTAGTTTGAATGAAATGTACTCTATGTATGCCGTAAAACTGTCGAATCAAGTGCAATCTAGATTGGATTCGTTTTGATGAAATGTGAACATCGGATTCAGTTTTGACTCTTGATAATAGCAATTTACTAAATTGAACCTAGAATGCGAGACGGTGGGTGACTGGTTAGCGCGCTGGCCTCACAGCGCAGAGGTGCAGGGTTCGATTCCGGCTCCGGCCTTCCTGTGTGGATTTTGCATGTTCTCCGTGTGCCTGAGTGGGTTTTCTTCAGGTAATCCTGTTTCCTGCCACATTCCGAAAAACATGCATGGCAGGTTAAATGCAACACTAAATTGTCCCTGGGTGGGATTGTGAGTGCGAATGGTCGTTCGTCTTTGTGTGCCCTGCGATTGATTGGCTGGCCACCAGTTCAGGGTGTCCCCTGCCTACTGCCCAAAGACAGCTGGGATGGGGTCCAGCTTGCCCGCGACCCTTGTGAGGTTATGTGGTTTAGAAAATGGATGGATTGATGAACCCAGAGCTAATTAGGTTTCCATCAAATCTCTTGTTCATGCGATCAATAAAAGGTAACGTCAAGACCAGCTCAACCTTGAATCAAATTTGGCTTGTGTATGCTTTCAAACCAGTGTGAAAACAAGTTCAGTCTAGGTTGGATTCACTTTGAATGAAATGTGAAATTTGTGTTCAGTCAATCATCAAGATGCAATGTTGACCAAATTTCATCCAACTCAAATCCACTTTGAGCGGAATATGAAATTAATATTCATATGGAGTCCTGATAGTGGTCGTCATGACATAATGTGTTTACCGACCTTATTCCAGATCTGATTCAGTTTCCATAATATGTGACTTGTTAATGTTTAATCCAGATCCAATCTTGTTTTTCTCTCAAATCTCTTATGCATATGCCATAAAATTAATGTCGTACCAAATGTGTGTAGATTAGCTCCAGTTTGAGTGAAATCTGAACTCCATATTAAAGTGTAATGTTCGCTTAATTGAATCCAAACGTGATCCACTTTGAAGGGAATGCGATACACCCTGCAAGATGTCGAGTCAAGCCAATCTCCAGATCTGATCTGATTTGAAGGCAATTTGATTTTCAACATTTTTCATCCCGCAAACTCTCACCTTTATCAGGTTTAATCTGGATATGATCAAGCATGAGGGAAATTTGCTGTGTAAATCCATTCTGTAAAAAAATTACTTTATCACAAATCTGGATCTGATCCAGAATGCAAATACATAAGTAATGTAAACATGGAATATCTCATTACTCATATTTGGATGCATCGATGCGCTTCAAATCCTGAGTTTATGAATTGCACACTTTCTCTCCTTCACGGGTGTTTCGCAGATTATCTTAAGTATTTATGGTCGCGCAACTATTGTTTCTCCCGGTAATCACAACTGCGACATGATTTATGCAGGGCTGCGCTTTTACTAGTACGGCAAGGCAAATAAATCAAAGAGATTGCATACCAGATATCTTGTTATCGCTACAGATAGATAACTAGACAAATTGCTGCATCTGAAAGCCGCTGTACAAACACAGCCGTTGCTTCTGGGAGCAGTTTTCTTTGAAGGAATGGCTCATAAATTCCATATCTGATGGTAGACAGTATAAGACTAGTGTATGCAGGAGGGTGGTTGCAGTTAGAATTTCCGAGGTTCCTTGAACGCCTCACATCAATGTTTGGCACTGTGTGCTGCTCCGGGGTATAATTAAAGCAGCGTGCTACATGCGGGTTAATCAGACATTTTTTTTGTCGAGTACAGTCAGTGCTTTGAGTTGCAGCTGCTTGTAGCTCGCGCGTGTGTGTGTGTGTGTGTGTGTGTGTGTGTGTGTGTGTGTGTGTGTGTGTGTGTGTGTGTGTGTGTGTGTGTGTGTGTGTGTATTTGTCGGAATATTGGCGTGTGAGGTGAGTTCTTTGACCTCAAACATGCTCCGGAGGGCCCCCATTCGCCATCTGGTCTTCATTCTGGAGTTAAACTTAGCAGCTCCATGCGTCTAAAAATAGATGTTTTTTTTTTTTTTTGTCTTGTCCGAATGTAATAAGTGTGTAACACGAGCCCACCGTGATGATGGCATTCTGTGCGCGTGTGTGCGTGTACTGGAGGCCATTGTTGGGATTGCGGGCCGTACATCCTCATTAGTTTGGAGTAGGGTGTCTTTAGGCTCCAGGCAGTTACCATGGCAACAACAGCTGCAGAAGCGCGCATGTCGCCAGCATGTTCTAACGGGACTCCTTGGTTTTGTTGCGATCCCCAGGTGGCCGCCCTCCAGAGGCAGGTGTTTGACTTCCTGGGTTACCAGTGGGCACCCATCCTGGCCAACTTCCTGCACACCATGGCCGTCATCCTGGGCATGTTCGGCACCGTGCAGTTCCGATTCAGATACCTCATCTTTGTGAGTACACGGCAGACAATTTGGGTTTCTAAAAATAGCCGGCTGTGAGGCAAGCCTGTTGTGTTATTTGTAGTATGCAGTGTGGCTGGTGCTGTGGGTGGGCTGGAACTCCTTCATCATCTGCTTCTACCTGGAGGTGGGCAACCTGTCTCAGGTCAGTTCGCCGCTCGTCAGTCTCATCTTGATTAGAGAACCTGATACTTGCTCCGTTTAAAGGACTCAAGATCAGGGGTGAACTTGTAATTCACACCACGATGAATACGGGTCTGACCAGTTTGAATAAAATGTGCTGTGTACACTGTAGAACTACAGTCAAACTAAATTGAATCCAGATCAGATCTGGTTTGAATCAGAATGCGATGCGTATGTGCAAATATTGTAATTCAAACCATCTTTAATCCCGAGCTGTTCAGTTTGAATGAAATTTGCTCGGTGCATGCACTAAAACTGGATTATCAAACCAGATTGAATCCAAATTGGATCCAGTTTGGATGAAATTTGCTTGGAGTATGTTGAAAATGTAACAACAACCCCCAATTTAAAACAGATCGGATCCAGTTTGAATTCAATTTTTGATGTGTATGACCTATCTGGAAACTGCAATATCCAACCAAGTTTGATCCAGATCTGATCCACTTAGAATAGAAGTGGCTGGGCAACGCAAACGACCGCTGGCCGCTAATTGGCCGAGCAGATTCAGCATCACAATGGCGACTTTTGTGGCAAGAAATGACAAGCCAAAAGGACACATGGCAAAGTTCCCAGACCCTGCTGTTGGACTCCTCTGCAACTTCAAATACACTCAGGGGGAAAGTCAATGAGGCAATTGGATCCTTCTTGTATTGAAAAATAAGAGCAACGTAGCAGCAGAGTAGCTTCAAGGCCTCCAGAGACGAGCGAGGATGGGGGGGGGGGGCAAGGGGAAAAAATAAGATCACCAATTTCCCCCCCACACACACACACACACACACTTCTTTTCCTCTCTTCCCCAGTGGTTTTGCAAGTAGTGGACCATATTACAGCAGCCGCAAAGTCGCCCTCCCTCCCTCTCCATACCCACAGTGCACATCCCTCACGCTTTTTACTGCTTTTTTTTTCTTTTTCATGTGCTATTTTAGAGACCACTGCAAAGCCGACTAAGTTGAACTCCTTCCCCATTAAACAACAATGTAACCGTTACAGTGTTTTGCACGCCATTTACATCAGAAAGATCCATCGGAAGCGTCCTTAACAAAGTGCTCTTTATAATATTTATACGAACATGGTGATGGTGTTCTACTACTGCAAGAGAATTCGCCCGGAAGGAAGCCTGTTACATTAAGACCCTTGATAAATGATTACTTTGTTATTCTGTGTTTTTTTGTTTTGTTTTTTTTAAACTGGAATTCTATTGAGGGCGGTCCAGTGGTTAGCGCGTCGACCTGACAGTGCAGAGGTACTGGGTTCAATTCCATCTCCGGCCTCCCTGTGTGGAGTTTGCATGTTCTCCCCGGGCCTGCGTGGGTTTTCTCCGGGTACTCTGGTTTCCTTCCACATTCCAAAAACATGCATGGCAGGCTGATTGAACACTCTAAAATTGTCCCGAGGTGTGAGTGTGAGCGCGGATGGTTGTTCGTTTCTGTGTGTGCCCTGCGATTGGCTGGCAACCGGTTCAGGGTGTCCCCTGCCAACTGCCCGCAGATGGCTGGGATAGGCTCCAACACCCCCCGTGACCCTTGTGAGGAGAAGCGGATCGGAAAATAAATAAATGAATGAATGAATGAGTGGAATTCTATTGAGGAAACTCCACAAATATTGATTAAATAAAACATGACTGGAAAACATAGTCAAGGCAACAGGGGGTGTTCTGAAGCGTGATCCAAAGGCTGCTGGAGCCAATCTGACTTCTGGGAAAAAAAAGAAAAGTTTAGAAAAGGCACAATAACAACAGTAGTTAATTGTACTGCGCTAGGTTTTGTTGGTAGGATGAAATTGTCATCACAGTTTGAGGCAGCCATTTTGGGTGAAAACAATCGCCCCCCAAATCAGCTCCTTCAAACCAAAAATGGCCGACTTCCTGTTCAATTTTCGGTTATGGGCCTTTGAGACTTGTGTTATCACGCGTCCACCCACTTTTGTGACAGTCAATAATACAAATGTCAAAAGATTTTTTTTTTTTTTTTTTAATGACCAAACCTCAAATTGAAAAAAAAACCCTCATGTGTCTGAATGTGCGTAGGACAGGGACTTTCTCATGACATTCAACACATCGCTACACCGTTCCTGGTGGATGGAGCACGGTCCCGGTTGCTTGGTGACGCCAGTGTTGGATTCGCACTTGGCCCCGGACGACCATCACGTCATCACCGTCTCCGGCTGCCTTTTGGACTATCAGTACATTGAAGTGCTGAGCTCGGCCATCCAGGTCCTGTTGGCCGTAAGTATGCAGGCAGGCACGCTACATCGTCTCAAGGCTGCACGCTACATGCAGTATGTATGATGAAACTCTCTTGTCTTTGAACAGCTTTTTGGTTTTGTGTACGCATGCTACGTGAGCAAAGTCTTCCAAGACGACGAGGACAGCTGTGAGTGTTTTCAGCGTCATCCTCTATTGAATGTCTTTTCCGGGAAGTCGTAATCAAAGTTTAGTATCGTTATCACAATTTTAAAGTGAGTTCACGTTGGGTACAGTGAGGCAACAAAGTGCAAAGCGAATCTTTTGTGTCAACATGAACAGATTGAAAATGGCATTTTTTCTTTTTAGAATAATGAAACGTCAACCCAGCCGCTGGGGGGCAGTGCCCTCCCCTGGGGGTGCACTGTTCCCCAGTGCCGGTCCCAAGCCCGGAGGAATGGGGAGGGTTGCGTCAGGAATGGCATCCGGCGTAAAACTTTTGCCAAGACGACCATGCGAGTTGGTAGGACGGTTTACAGGGGCGGATGGAAATTACTGACTCGCTGTGGCGACCCCTGGATAGGGACGTGCCGAAAGGAGAAGAAGAAGAAGAAGAATAATGAAACGTCAGTCCTATCACTTCTTTTATAGATCAAATGAATTGCAAAGTTAAAACGCGCTGCGAAAAATATGTCGCGCAAGCCATGATGCCCGTGAGCCACAGGCTGATTTGCACTGTAGTTGTTTACCAAGTTACAATACAATACAATACAATACATGCTGATTTATATAGCGCTTTCACAACAGCGGCAGCTGTAACAAAGCGCTTAACAAAACAGTTAACATAAAGTAAAATAATAAACACAACACATAACATAAAACACGGACAGTCGCGCAGTCCTAACCACTTTTCCGGGACACGCTTTGTTGTTGGAAGCAGTTTGAGATGAAAGAGGAGAGAATCAAAGTGTCCTTTCACCAAGTTGAAAGGAATTAGTTGTAGAAATGTTGTATGACTTATCCATACAAAATTTGGGGCATATTTACAAATAAGAGACATCAAATAATTAGCAAAATTCGTATCAGCATATTCCCGATGTAATAGAACAGTCGTTCTAATTTGATGTTAAAATCCATTTGGATTTCATTTGCTTCATTTACAACACTCACAGTACCTTAAAATGAACTTTTTGGCTAAGCACATTATCCCCCCCGAAAATATTTGACCTTTAATTGAGGTTATTTTGTGGTATCACGTAATTATTTTCGGACTTCCTGGTTGTAGGGAAGACGCATTTTATTTAAAGACACAGTGCCCTCTAGTGGATTTTTATTCGTAGCGCATATACTGTATCATATACAGTATTTAATAAAAGAGATGGCTCAACCGTCTTGAGTTAAGTGAGGGGCATCTCTTCACTGGGATGCAGTCAACCAAAATGACATTTGTAAATCTCATTGTCAGTTGCACCGGCCATGAGCCGGGCGCGCCGCATGTCACTGGTGCGCCTGGGTTACAATGTGGCCGATGTCAAGGATTCCCTCGTGATCGTGTGATCTGTCCATGTGTGTGATTGGAATATTCCTGCCTGTCATCCTGTGTGTGAGCCCTCTGTGCGTCTAAAGCCTGACAAATGAAGGCCTGTGGTTCAACAGTGACACGGAGCTGTCACACCGTGAAGCGCGTGACCCATGGGTGGGTGTTAGGGCGTTTTGTTGTGAGACTCATGGAGGCCACGCATTTTTCATCATTAATATTCCAATTCTGCCGAGCTCCAGATGTGACATGGATAAAAATTTTATAAATTGTGTCCTCAATAGAGATACAGTATAGCATGGGCACAAAATACTTATTTGTGGGTTTGATATAATTCCTGTGAACAACTTGTGGACGTCTAGATAAGAAAATGGAGCGCACCTTCACTTGAAACTGCAATACCGTTATGCTCTGTATTTCTGGAGGTGTGCTCCATTTGTGGGCGATTTAAGTCTGACTCGGGTCTCATGAGCGGACCACCTCTTTTTGTGCACATATTATTCCTCTATTGTGACCACAATTTTTTCACCATGTCATGCCCGGAATTCTGACAACGCAGTCAGACATTTGATGGACGCAAAACAAAACCAATCCATCCTCTCTTTCTCTCGCCCAGTCGACTTCATCGGCGGCTTCGACTCATACGGTTACCAGCCTCCACAGAAGTCCTCGCACCTCCAACTGCAGCCTCTCTACACGTAAGTCAGACTGGTCATCTTGCTCGCCTCTTTTCAGTCCTAACATGTCCCTCTCTGCACCCCAGGGCTGGCTAATGGGCGCTTGCGCCACCTTCAGGCTGAACAGTGCCACTGCGGATGGAAACTGGTTCTGGCTCCCCCCCAAACAGAGGACTAGCTTATCCTGCCTTGGAGAAGACGTGTGTGTGTGTGTGTGTGTGTGTGTGTGTGTGTGTGTGTGTGTGTGTGTGTGTGTGTGTGTGTGTGTGTAAGACTACCATCCCTGAATGGAATGTACCAAGCTCAGGGATGAACCAGCATGTCGAAAGGATTGCCAGATAGGATGAACCGGAGTAAGGAGACAGCCGATTCACCGCAGACACACGTCTTTACCAGTTAATAACACAAATGTTTGTAGTGTACTACAGGATGTGTGTGTATGTGTCACAGGATTACCCGGTGTTGTAAAATGGCACCGCACATCATTGTTGTTGTGGGAGGGGGGGGGGGGACACACCCGTCATTTCAAAAAAAAAAAAAAGAGAGAAAAAAAGGAACAAAGGCGCAGCTCATTGTCATTTTAGAATATGTTGATGTCAAATTAGAGCAGTCTTGAAATTTCTGCTCCCAAAGACATCTGCAGCCAGCCCACAAATCATCAACCATGTGTCACCAAACTCCGACCACACTTAGATGCATATTCACAAGATCCACATTTTATTGTCGGCCATTTGTCTAGGATGCCCACGTCAAATTTGAGAACAATCAGGTGAATTCCTGAAGAGGGGTTGGTTGTGCAGATGGCTTTGGGACCCGACATTAGTGTGTCTGTTGGGATGGGGGGGATACTGTGCATGTAAATAACCAGCCAATGACTGATTTTGATTAGGAAAAAAAAAAGACGGGCTTGAATTAGGTTGTGGAGGGGATGGGGGGGTATATATTTTGTCTTCATACCCGTGTTTCTTGTTGGTCTTCTCACTCTCTGACACTTTTTTGTCTGTCAAACGGGAGGTGGGAGGAGCGAAGAAGTGAGACAGGTACGAGGTGAACATCTTGACGACGTCAAGGTGCACGGTACAGTTTGAAATAATAAAAACACACTTTCTACATGATAAACAACAGATGGTGTCCTCACTGGATTGAGTTTTATACTTTCATGAAAGCTTTTGAGATTGTTTCAAGTTATTGTCTCATTCGGGTTTAAGGAATAGAGTTTCAAGGTAAGTGTTGAGGTTCATAGAAAGTTTCGAAGTATGGTTGCAAAACAAGAGTAGGACCGCAAAATCCGCTTTGAGCCAGGGATAGTAGAGTTGAGGTTTCAAAGTCGCTATTAGGGTTTGTATTTGTTGACTTGGTGAAGCTCCTTCCAGTCGTGTTTATGCTAAAAATACGAATTCAAAAGAAAACGGTTCACTGTTACCATGGCGACAGCCTGTCTGCATTACGTCACCCCCACACGCTTTGCGGCAGTCTTCCCTGAAACCCCGGGGGACGGGACGTGGAGAACCACCCGCTGAGCTCCAAGTGGCCCGGATGAGGCTTTTGTTTTGGGCTTACTTTTTTTTTGGGGGGGGGGTGAGGGTGCGCACCCCCCCCTCCCCCAGTAATGTTCAGTGTCTGACCGAAACGCGTTGCCATAGCTGCCAGTTACCTGGTTACCTTGGAGACAGTCCTCCCCACCACTCCTAACAATATTTTTTGTTTCATTTAATTAGATACTGTGCCCCCCCCCCACCTCAGTATGATGTGATAGACAAAACATTATCCTTCCCGTCGCCACCGCCCCCTTCGGCGCTGGAATGAATGTACAGTGTTCCTCCATTGACAAACGGCGTGAATGAGGTCCATAAATGCAGCACACCGCCTAACAAAGGAAGCGGGTCCCGGTGCGGCCCTCCCCTCTCCGGTTGGCGCAATGAACCGCACGCTCTCTCCCGGCCCTCCCGTCCCTTCCCATCATGCAGCGCTCGCGCCTACTCCTCCGCCGAGCCGCCATGTTGTCGGAGTGAAATCCTGGGGTGTCAGAGAGAAGCTGGGGCCGAAATCCGTCACCATCCACCCTCTCCGCCGGTGAGTACTGCCCGCTGACCTCGCGCGATACCTCAGCACTCCACTTAGCCACGCACCGATGCGGATATTGTCACCATGACGGAGCTAAAGGAGCGTCTTTTGTGCGACGGAGCCGACTCACCACCCGAGCGTACTGCCTTCCCCCCTTTCCTCCTGTTGTGTCGGTCTTCCGCTCCAGAGCTGCTCGCGGGCCTTTGTTAGCACCCGCGTCACAAGTACCTGTCCGGTTGCGGGATGCTCGGAACACCGACAAGAGAGCCCGGCCGTTAGGGCCAGCACCTCCACCGTTTGTTATAAAACACACGTTGGCCCCCATGTTTGGTCACCGGTTCACCCGGGGCTGAAAGCAGTGTGAAGTCGGAGGAGGGGGGGCAGGCCGTGTTATTGTTGCGAGACGCCGACAGACCGAGCCAGCGACCAAGTCTTTCTCTTGCCAAACTCGCTTCGGGCGTGAGTGAATCCGGATTCGTGCGAGTGATAACCTCGGTTATTGATCGTGGGTGCCGGTGCGTATTCTGCTTGCTTTTGTTGACATGTCCGCCGTGGAAGAGGAAAGACAAACGTGAGTGCCCGGGGAAGCTAACCTGTATTATCACACACGTCAACGTAGCCGGTGGGGGATACACGACATGGATAATAAATTGCCCGGTGGACACCCATCATCCCACCCGGTTCTTGGTGGCGCTCAACCCGGGAATCGTCGCTCGTTTCCGGGTGCTGCAAGCATGTCATGTCGGTGAATGACCCGAGTGTTGTGAATTTCCGGGTGTTTGTCTACCTGCTCCTTCGTCGTCGTAGCCGTAAAAATACCTGACACTTGTATCAACGCATCTTTTAGGTGGTGATTTTTCACCCCTTTCTCGTGTTTTACTATTTGTTAGAATCATTTTTGGTGTCTTAGGTCGAAAAGGGGGTGTGTATGTTTGAAGATAGCTAACATGCTAATGAAATGGAACATGGCTCAGTGCCCCTTAAGGCCCTAATAATATAAACCTGCTGATTTTTTTAAGAGATTAAATGGGATAAAGTAAGGATGGGTGTTGTAAGAGACAGATTGGCCCGTGCGTGATGCATTATTTGGGGGGGGGGTTAACCTGCTCAGCATCCATCTGTCAGGCTGCATGAATCGCAGCAGAAAGTGAGCATTGTTATCATTGTCAAGGCAGACATTTTGTTTTGGCCCTAATCAGATTGTGCAGGTGAGTGCCCATAAAGCGATGCCCGTAATCCAATTCTTTCAGAATAACTACAAGTGCAATTTGAAGACGCTTATAAAATAAATGACCTCAGCACATTTTCTTTTTCAGAAATCACTTCCGTCGATTATTAACTCAGGCTTGAGCCTGTAATTCTAAATTGCATATGTTTGAAGTACGCAACGCCATGCACAGATAGTTTATGAATGCATTTCGGAATGAATGAGAACTCCTGAAATGTGAGTACTGTATTGTTTTTGAAATTTCACCCAAATATCTTCACCAGATAGATTGTCATACTCTGTTTCTTGGATTGCATTTTGCTTATCTGCCTTGTGAATCTTTTCCATGCCATCTGGAATTAAGAACAGCAGTGATTGCAAAAAAAAGTGTTAAAAATCAGATTTTTGTTTTTGTCTGCATTTTGCATATTTTGGCATTTTGCATATTTTGGTATTTTTCATCTTATTTATTTTGTCTGTTTGTGTTTTTGACTACTTCATGATCAATTGTATTTTTAAACATTGGAATATTTTTGCCTCCTTGTCAATTTTTTTCCCCAGATTTTTGTTGTGATTTCATTTGTTTTTTTCAATCACATTTTTAATACTCCCCCCCCCCCAAAAATATATTTTGGATCTTTTAAAAAACGTTTATTTGCTGTCAAAAACGTATTTTATTGTCATATATTTTTCATCATGACTCATAGATTGTGCAAGTGAGCCTAATTGTATATATATATATAACTGTACTTATCTATTTATACACCTTTCTGTATATATATATATATATATATATATATAAATTTTCATTTGCTCCAATTAGCAAACCTCTTTTCCTCGCTCTAATCGTTCATTGCATTTTTCCATGTAGGGTTAAAAAAAAAAAAAAAAAAAAAAACAACAACAACAAAAAAAACAACAACTAATGTTAAGCTAGTGTCACTGAGTTAGTCATCACAATTGCCCGATTTGAAATGCTGAGTTATGCCTGGCAACAAGTGAGAATCGACTTTTCAGTGCTTCTAAGCTGTTCGCATGTTGATGTCATGGTGTAACGCTTGTTTTGTTGCTCTCCTGGCCAGGCTGTGGTGGAATGAGCAGTGTGTGCTGAAGAGGAAAGCAGTACTCTGGCAGGATTCCTTCAGCCCCCACCATAGAACTAGGTCTCCCAGCAGCATGCCCGTGGTGCTGAGCAGCGGAGGACATGCCCCTCCCGCCGGGCAGGCTCCTCAGGCCGCACCGCCCAGCCAGCAGGTAACATTCAAAGAACAAAAAAAAAAAAAAAAAAAAATCAGTGAACACCATTTACAGATGACAATTTATGTGCAGCGACATAACTCAAAATGTAGGGGGAATAAAGTTTCTGTTGCCGTTAATCAATAAGAAAACAAGACTCTTTGTCTCTGAAAATGTAAAAAATAAAAATAAAAACCTCGCATGCATTGTAGTACTACAGGTACAGAAGTTCAAGTCAACTTTATTGTTAAATGTGCCCTATGTGCAACATACAGCACAGATGAAACTTCTTTCCTCTCAACCAAAGTGCAAACACAGGAGAGAGAGAGAGAGAGAGAGAGAGAGAGAGGAGCCGCTGCGGGTGCCCGCGCCGCCATCGACAGAACAGTTAACATGAATGACAAAATAATACAACGCAACACATAAGACACAGACGGTCGTGCAATCTTAACCACTTTTACTGCATACACTTTGTAGTTTGAAGCTGTTATAGATGAAAGAGGAGAGAATCAAAGTGTCCTTTCACCAGTGGATCAAAGACGTCATGCTGAAAATGGCCACACGTCCGCAACCTAAATTTGAAAGCAAATAGAAGCTGTCGCGTCCATTGACGAGAAAGAGATTGGCTCACATCTCCTGTCCCATGTAATTCCACTTCAATTCCAAGCCGCGACTCTCAGTTCCACAGACGCATCGGCGTTCTGCGCTGACGCTCCTTTCCTCTCATCGTCGGCTCCACGAGCCATCCATTCATCCAGCCGCAGACTGTCTTAACAGCACCGACCTTTCCGCTGAACAAAGCGGGGCTGTGAAAATGCTGCCCATTTCAGGTGCAAAAAAAAAAAAACAAGCGCCTCGGGGCTGTCCAGCACCGACAGTCAAATGGCGCCGACATTCCTCCCAATCGAAATCAGTGCTGCAGAGAAGGCGCAACCACCAAGCTCAGATTCTTCTCTTTTGACGAATGTCGTGGCCAAAAATGCTGAAAAACAATCCACATCAGGTCCACACGACGCAACAACACCACGTCAAAACAAAACAACAAAAGAAGACAACAAAAACGAGAACAGAAAGAAGACCCGTCTTTTCGAAGTAATATATTTAATCGGTTAATAGGGCAGCCCTAACAAAACACAATTAACCATTCTGTCTAAATATTTCCATCCAGCCATTATCTGTGCCGCTTATCCTCACAAGGGTGGCAGGCGTGCTGGAACCCATGCCGGCCATCTTCGGGCATGAGGCGGGGTAACACCCTGAACTGTTTAACAGCCAATTGCTGTCTATTTAAAAACGAAAATGCCCAGCGAAACCATATTTTGACTTAAAATTATATTAGCTGCGCGGCCTGGTGATCCAGTGGTTAGCGCGTCGACCTCACAGTGCAGAGGCACCGGGTTCGATTCCAGCTCCGGCCTCCCTTGTCTGGAGTTTGCATGTTCTCCCCGGGCCTGTGTGGCTTTTCTCCGGGTACTCTGGTTTCCTCCCACATTCCAAAAACATGCACAGCAGGCTGATTGAACACTCTAAAATTGTCCCTAGGTGTGTGTGTGTGAGCATGGTTGGTTGTTCGTCTGTGTGTGCCCTGCGATTGGCTGGCAACCGGTTCAGGGTGTCCCCCCGCCTACTGCCCGAAGACGGCTGGGATAGGCTCCAGCAACCCCTGTGAGGATGAAGCGGATCTGAAAATGGATGGATTATATTAGCTTAATGCTAACCTATCATGTGAAATGCCATAGACGTCGGGATTCACCGAAATGAGTATCGGCATGACACCGACTAAAAACATTCGCACAACTGCTACTTGGACGGCAATGTATACAATTAGAGCATATGACAATACACACGGGAATATATTTTCTTTATGGCTCGATGACAGTTGAGAGCTGTTTAGTTGGGGGACCTTATCTGCTTCCTCTTCTTGCTCGTAATGATGCCGTGTCTCTTCCAGTCGAGCTCAGTGCTGCCCGGCATCTTGTGGCACAAGATGGTACTACACTGAAGGTGTTCTCCAAATTTGGACATGCATATAAACTGTAAAGACACATTTGGTCCCAAAATCTGCGCTATAGAGAGTGCTAGGTGCGAGGGACCGAGAACCACGAGGTAGCCGATGTTCACTGTAAATACTTCGGTAAGCTGCTCTTGCTTATGTGCGCGTTTACGCCTCCCATTTTGTCCGCTCAGGGTGTGGCAGGTGCCGGACGTTCCCAGGATGACGCCATGGTAGACTACTTTTTCCAACGGCAGCACGGCGAGCAGCCTGGAAAGCACCGCTGGCCCACTGGGGACAACATCCATGACAGTCAGGTATTCGGGTGCTCCTGGCGTTGCGAATAATAACAGATCGTTCACAATTGACACACAATATGTCCGCGCGAGGACACGCATCCGTTTAATTAAATAATTGTTAATAGATTTAAGTGGTAACAAATAGATTGATGAATTTGTGTTACTGAGTTTTCAGTTTTTGTTCTTGCGTGATTGATTTTTACTCCACGTGCAGCACCCGATATGGAGCGGTGATTGTTTTGAAGTGGCGTACGAATAAAGTTGAGTTGACAGACGGGAATCGTTCCACGCGACTCGTGACGTGAGCTTGCATCACAATGTTGTCTGCGTCCCATGTTTGCAAGACGAAACGCCTTTCTCAAAGCAACGGGGTAATAACTGTAATAGCCACAGTTCATCGAGCACCATTAAAGAGATGGCATTTATATTTGGAAATCTTTTCCCACCCAACTCCGACTTGTGGCCACTCCGCAATGTTGTCTGTCTGTATGATTAAAAATAGATTCGTCCCTCGCCGAACTAAAACATGTTGTAGCTGAACCTACTTCAATTAACTCATTCACTCCCAAAGACGTTTTTAAATGTCTTTTCAGACTTGGTCCACAATTGGCTGGTACTGAATGAGTTTTAATGAATGTACATAAAAGACAAAGTGTTTTTTTTTTTTTTAAATGGTGTGTGTGTCAGTATCATAAAAATAAAGGCCTCCCTTGAAAATAATACGGGTTGTGGCTGTAATTGCTTGCGGGCCCGTCAAACAAGACGTGTGGTCTCTTCACCGAGAAACTCAGAAAGTATGACTTTTTTTATTGTTGCTGATTTTTGTCCTCTTGTCATCAGGTGCGCTCCATGGACGAGTTGAATCACGACTTCCAGGCACTAGCTTTGGAGGGACGCGCCATGGGAGAGGTGAGACCAGCAAATTATTTCCGTGCGATAATAAGTTTGTCTGTTCTTTAAAGGCCACAGTCTTACGCTGAATGGCGTTGGTTGGTTTCTGCCTAGTGGCCTTGGCACCTCGGCCAAACCTTGGCTAATCGTAGACTTGACTAACAGGAAATCCAGGGCTGATGGAAGTGGGCGGAAAGTTCCAAAGAGATGTGCGGACTTGGCCTTTGTTTTTCCAGAATAACGAGATCGGAGGAAAGGCGAGAAGCCATCCTGCAGTTTTAGCTTTGCTGAATTAAACCACGTCTATTTTGGGACTCGGATTCATTATTGACTTTATTAAAAAAATATCTATAATTTTTTTTTATTTTTTTTTTTTATGGTCTTCCTCTTGTAAACCACTTTTCTTGTATTTGATAATTCTTTTTGTGGGGTGGGGATAGTCATTATTCTTTTTGTCTAATGTAAGATAAGATAAGAAAACCTTTATTTGTCTCACACTGGAGACATTCCCAATTTACAGTCAGCAAAATTGTGAAAGGGAGAAGTAGAAGAACAAAAAGTATATAAATAAGTATCAATTATAAAATATAAGTATAAGCATATTAAAAATGGGTGAGTGGGGCGGGGTGTCTTTCATGTGTTTTTGTGTTCAATGCAAGACAAAAACGTTGTCATTTTTGTCGATTATTTCAGACGACTTTCTGTCATTTTTGCTATTTTTTGGTACCAATATTTTTATCTCATGTGAGTGTTTTATATGTAATTTTGTTTCAGTATATTTGTATTTAATTTTACTTTCTAATATTTGTTCGCGTCTGTTACCTTTCTATTTTATGCATATTTTGAGCTAATATTTTTTGGTCAAGTGTTTTTGTACTGTTGTCAAAAAATGTCGAATAATTTTGTGCCACTTGCTTGTATTTTTAATATATTTGTCTTACTTTTGTTCTTCCCCCCCAATAATTTTGACATTATTTAAATGCATTTATTTATTTAAACTTATTACCACCAAAGTCTCAAATTTGAAAACATCTAAATGAGCTACACTGGCACATTGGATGATAACGATTTCTCGATAAATGTGAGACATTTTCAAACTGCTATTATTACCACTTTGATGTTTTGCTGTATTTAGCATCTCTGTCGATGACTCCGTGCCAGTTTTTTTTTTTTGCTTCCTCGATTCCATGATGCAGAATCCAATTGTGCCACCTGAGAGCAAATAATCATAATTGTCCCTTGCAGTATAAATCCAGCCCACAAATGTAATTTTTTTTTTCTTCTCCTCAACTCTTTGTTTCCATTTTGTCAAAGGTCAAATTTAACCACTTCCCCAACCCTGGCTTTGTTTCCCTGCAGCAGCTGCTCACCGGCAAGAAGTTCTGGGAGACGGACGACTCCGGGAAGGATGGCCCAAAGGGGATCTTCCTGGACCAGTGGAGGGACAGCGCATGGGGGGCCTCAGGTAGACATTTGGATCCTTTTTACGCAGATGGTCAACTTTACAAGTGACGCGACGAACCTTTCCTCCACTTACTCAACCGTCGCTCCCGTTTCCCGCAGACCACTCGGTGTCTCAGCCCATCATGGTGTCCCGCCGACCCGGTCAGGGCTTCCACGGCGGCGGTGAAGTGGGCGTGGGCTCCGTTATGTCGCCGCGATCCGAGAGCGGAGGGCTGGGCGTCAGCATGGTGGAGTACGTGCTCTCCTCCTCGCCTGCCGACAAGCTGGACTCCTGCCTGCGGAAAGGACCTTATGTGAGTCTCTGGTGTTTATTTTTCGTACTTGCTTTAAATCGGTACACTGGCAAGTCAAAAAATGTATTTTAAAGATCTTACTGTTGGACTACCGCTAATAGCACGCTGAGGCAGGACAGAAAAGTATTGTGTGGGTTTGACTCCCAAGTATCGGGTGTTATAAGACAGTATCGGAGCATTTTTACAATCGTGTTTATCAATTATCTTTGCCTTGTGTGATGGCGCAGGGCCAGCGGGACAGCGAGGTGGTGGAGGACAAGCGGGAGAAGCCAAAGGCGACGTTTGAGGCGGAAAAGTTGAAAGAGCTGGCGGAGGCGGAGGCCGACGTCATCAACGACGTCATCAACCCCAACGGTCTCCCCGTGCAGAACGGTCTGGACGTCGACGTCAAAGAGTTCGGGTACGTATTGGATCAGGGGTTTCTCCCACCAACGCAAGGTTTCTAGCGTCAACGTTGTCTTTCCCGCAGCCGCCCGCCGGGCAACATGCAGCCGCCGGGCCCGGACGGGGACCTGCTGGGCGGCCCGGGGGGCGTCGGCGTGGACGGGCTGACGCCCCTCGGCGGCGCTGGCGGCCCCAAACCGCCCGAGAACTTCCCCGGCGTGGACCAGGGCGGTGTCGCCATGGACCCGATGGAGTCGGTGATGGAGCCGCTTCAGTTCGACTACAACTCTCAGATGCCGATGGACTCGGCGCCCACCGTGGGACTCTTTGATTACAACAGCCAGCAGCAGGTATTCATCGTCTTCCTGGGAGGGGTTAGGCAAAATCAACGCAGGTCTACAATTTTAATTACTCAGCATTATCATTTGCTTGTGCTCCAACCCAAAAAAGGGAGGGGGGGGAATCAATTATTTTGTCGATTTTATTTGAAGTCCATACAGATGTTTTTCTGTTGTTCAGCAGCTCTTCCAGAGAAGCAACGCCCTGGCCGTGCAGCAGCTCACCGCCGCTCAGCAGCAACAATACGCCTTGGCGGCGGCACAGCAGCCCCACATTGGTAGGAAAATGGCACATTATTTCCCCATATTATGAAAGAAATGGAAGAAAAGAAGATGTTCTGGATTCCTGATTTCCAACCTGATATGTCCAGGTCTGGCCCCTGCCTTTGTTCCCAATCCTTACATCATCAGCGCTGCCCCGCCAGGTACAGACCCCTACGCGGCGGGACTAGCGGCGGCGGCAACTCTCGGTAAGTTACATGGCTCGATACGCATGTGGAAATGTTTCTCGATTCACAAATTGTGTGTGTGTGGTTTCTTTTTTTTTTTTTTGTTTTTTTTTTTAGGGCCGGCAGTGATGCCCCCTCAGTACTACGGCGTCACGCCGTGGGGCGTGTACCCTGCCAATCTATTCCAGCAACAGGCAGCTGCCGCCAACAACTCGGCCAATCAGCAGGCGACAGGCCAGGGTCAGCAGAACCAACAGCAGGTCAGTCATACAAATGTTGTTTCACGCCACTTCCCCAACTCAGTTGTTCACTTTTTTTTTTTTTTTTTTTTCTTCCCCACCTCATCCAAGGTGATGCGTGCGGGAGGCAACCAGCGTCCCATGACACCCAGCCAGGGGCAGCAAGGGCAGCAGAATGAGCAGCTAGTTGCCACGGCAGCCGTCAACTCCGCCCTTGCCTTTGGGCAGGGGCTCGCAGCAGGAGTGCCTGGTGAAGCACTTTAACTGATTGTTCCACATGTTTTTTTTGTTTTTTTTTGGTAGTCCCCCCTCACTACAGTGGTCTTGTTTTTCCCCACTTGGCTCATATTTTTCTTTATCCCCTGCCAGGTTACCCTGTCCTGGCCCCCGCAGCCTACTACGACCAGACGGGCGCCCTGGTGGTCAATACTGGTGCTCGTAGCGGTCCCGTTCGTCTCATGGCCCCCGCGTCCGTCATCATATCGCCTTCTGCGGCGCAAGCAGGTGAAAGGCGCAATGACAGCTTAACCGTCGTGTCATTAGTTGAAGTCCAGGTAAAGTGAATATAAATGGGTCTTGTGAATTTGACACACCACAGAGAAGAGTCTCGCTGTGACGAGGTGGTCTAAAGGAACAATCTCGGCTTGAAATCCTGTTACACACACTGGCTGTCAATTTGGACTTTAAAGAATGAAAGGAAAAAGAGGGAGAAAGTTCCTTACCCCCTGCCCTTGCTATTTCTCCTTTCCCCACATGACGTTCGCACACTCGCAGATTTATGACGAGACTCTCTAAAGCGGCAACGTGAGCCTGAATCCCGCGCCACACTCAATGGCTATCAAACCCGACTCTTGAAAAAAAGTGTCATTCAAATTTCCCCAGTCCTTTATCTTCCACCTATTGACCACACGACATTTGCACACTCGCGGCCGACAACACAGCGCCCTCAAGCGGCCACGCCAGCAGACAAGCTGAAGGCAAGATGCGTTTTTCAGGGTGGAGTCAGAGCTAGCTCGCTAAGTGCAAATGTACCGTTAACTGCTAATGTGAACAACAGAGCTTAAGTTCTTAATATTTGAGGCGGGGTGACTCATGCTGGACTCTAAAGTACATGATTGGCGCAAAAAAAAAAAAAAAGAAATGAGAGTTTACCGATATATCGTCACAAATCAGCACTACATAGTTCTCAGACTTTGAACATTTTCAGCAATTACCTTGTAACATTCAAAATATTACTGCTTTTTCTGAGGAAAAATTAAATGTGTACGTTTGCTTTCTCCTTGTGGTTAGTTGCTGCCGCGGCGGCCTCGGCAGGCAACGGCAGCGGCGGCGCCAACGGCCCCTTCCGCACCATGACATCCCAGCAGCCCCAGCAGCAGGGGGGCCCCGGCAGCGGCCCTCTGGGCGGGAGTTCCTTTTACGGCTCCTCCTCGCTCAGCTCATCTTCGCAGAGCTCCTCGCTCTTCTCACAGGGCTCCGGTCAGCCCGGCCCGGGTTCCGCTTCCCTGGGCTTCAGTCAGCAAGCCTCTTCCTCCCTTGGCGCCACTCTGGGGGCCACGTTGGGAGGCTTCGGTACTGCGGGTAGGAACAGTTTTCATTCCAAAGTACTTTTTTTTTTTGGGGCGGGGGGGGAGAAGCGGCACATCCTATCATGGTGTCTGATTGGCCCTCTGAAGGTGATGTGCTGGTTTTGAAGAAGTCAATTACTGAATACAGTTGTTTATGTCACATTGGTTGACAATTGGTTACATGTTAGATACATGGTGTTTGTGCTTTCTGATCCTCTCTCTTTTTGCATCAATGTTTTCACTACGTTAAAAAAATGTATGCAACGGTGTACCAAAGAAACAAACAATTATTTGGTCCAAAAATTCTTTATTACAAATAATGTCTTTGTTTTATCCACCAATGCTAGCAATGTTCAGTGATAGGTAGAATAGTTCAATGCTCCTCCTCCTATATGGCAAAATACACATAATTAACCTTTTTAACCGCTTTTTTGTAAAAATAATTAATGCTGTAAAAATATGCGACTTGACTCATTTAAAGTTGGGAAAGGTTGAACATAAAAATAATTAAAAAAAATATTATTTTGATTATATTTGATAAGTATTTTTGTATTGCAGCAGCACACACACGTTGACAGATGAAAATTTTTTTGACAATTAAAAAAGCAATTATGTAATAAAAAGGGCATTTAAATGTTCTTGTTTATATATATATATATATATATATATTCATAAATACAAAATTAATGTTTATACTGTTGGAATGTTTAGAAACACTGCAGCAGTCTACCTGCTTTATGATGGTGTTAACGGCTGTCGTGGTTGTTGTGTCTGCCTCCCTCTAGTGGCCAACTCGAGCGGCGGCAGCGGTTCCCGGCGCGACTCTCTGACAGGCAACAGCGAGCTATACAAGCGCACTCCCTCCAGCCTCACGCCCATCGGCCACAGCGGCTTCTACAACGGCACGCTGGGCTTCAGCCCCTCGCCGGGCCCGGTGGGCATGCCGCTGCCCAATCAGGGCCCCTCCCACTCACTCACCCCGCCGCCCTCGCTCTCCAACCACAGCTCCTCATCCAACCTCAATTTGGGTAGGCGGGCAACCCCGTGTGCGCCCATGGGTTGCAGCAGTGGATTTCACTTCAGCTCGTCCCGTCGTCGCGGCTACGCTACGGCATGTCAGACGTGATGCCGTCGGGACGCAGCCGCCTGCTGGAGGACTTCCGCAACAACCGCTACCCCAACCTGCAGCTGCGCGACATCGCCGGACACATCATGGAGTTCAGCCAGGACCAGCACGGCAGCAGGTTAGCACTTGGCGACGTTTGCCGATTATTTCAGTTGAACAGCCAATGGCATTATTTTATGGATGATACCAGTACATTCTGGGGGCTAACAGATAAAGATTTTTTTTAGGCCAACGCTGATTCCTATAAGTGATCACGAGATCACTTGTCTGTAATTTAGCCTGGGATCCATCACAAGCCTGTTTCCTCTTCCACCTGTAATTTTCCATTGTGTTTCAGTAGAGTAAAGTCATTTTCGGGACGCAGCCGCCTGCTGGAGGACTTCCGCAACAACCGCTACCCCAACCTGCAGCTGCGCGACATCGCCGGACACATCATGGAGTTCAGCCAGGACCAGCACGGCAGCAGGTTAGCACTCGGCGACGTTTTCTGATCATTTTAGTTCAACAGCCAATGGCATTATTTTATGGATGATACCAGTACATTCTGGGGACTAAGAGATAAAGATTTTTTTTTAGGCCAACGCTGATTCCGATAAGTGATCATGAGATTGCCTGTTTCCTCTTCCACCTGTAATTTTCCATTGTGTTTCAGTCGAGTAAAGTCATTTTCATTTTGCGCAGGTTCATCCAGTTGAAGTTGGAACGAGCCAGTCCGGCTGAGCGCCAGCTCGTCTTCAGTGAAATCCTGCAGGCCGCATACCAGCTCATGGTGGATGTCTTTGGCAACTATGTCATCCAGAAGTTCTTTGAGGTATGCCTCGGTGTACTCTGTGATGTTTTTTTGTTTGTTTGGTTTTTTTGGGGGGGAGGTGTATCATTGCAGAAGATGAATCCTTGATTTTTGTGTACAGTTTGGCAGTCTGGACCAGAAGCTAGCGCTCGCCGAGCGTATCCGCGGCCACGTCCTGTCGTTGGCGCTGCAGATGTACGGTTGCAGGGTCATCCAAAAGGCGCTGGAGTTCATCCCGTCTGAACAGCAAGTCATTGTGAGTACGACGCTCAAGAATTAAACCCAGAATAGATTTAGTCTAACTCCAGAGTTAATTGACTGTACTGGACTGTAAAAATCCACAAAATAGTCAGACTGCAAACCTGGAACCTACGGTGGAGGGGGATTTACCATATATCCAGAAAAGTATGTAAAATAAAAAGAAGAGAGGCTAAGAAAATGTTTTTCCTCATTGTTTCGCTCGACACAAAACAGGAGGCTTAAAAACTTTATTTTTTTTAAATGACTCATTTAGGGCCAAGTCCCGCTTGGTCGCGTTTGTGATGTATCTATCTCTTCCCTAATAGAGCTCGCGAGTTAGCTCCAAGGCGAATTATTCGCTATTTGTTGGCCACACTGAAGCCCCCTGTAAAAAATATATGAAATAAGAATTTGAAAAAAATAAAAAACTTCTTTGAGGCACGATTCGATTTCCCGCCAACAATTCCGACAGAGCGAGATGGTGCGCGAGCTGGACGGCCACGTGCTCAAGTGTGTGAAGGACCAGAACGGCAACCACGTGGTGCAGAAGTGCATCGAGTGTGTGCAGCCGCATGCGCTGCACTTCATCATCGACGCCTTCAAGGGACAGGTAATAACCACAGAAAACACACACACGCGCGCGCACTGTGTCGCCATGGCAATGCAAACCGCAGCAGCCTGGTCGTCGTCTGTTGTCCATTTGCTAAATGTGTCATTAGCATAGTCTGCTAACATGAAGGACTTTATGCATTTCTGCGTCAAAGGAATCAAGGGACAGGTAATAACCACAGAAAACACACACATAGTCTGCTAACATAAAGGACTTTATGCATTTCTGCGTCAAAGGAACGTTCGTCTGCTTTTTCACTCGTGTGTCTGCTGCTAGTTTGTCTGGCTCTCATTTGAATGTGCGTGTGTCTTGAGTTTGTACTTGTGTGTGTCTTTACTGTGTTTGTTTGTGTGTCCTTGCTTGTGTGCCCATGTCGGGTTTTATGTGCATGTGTCTCGAGTTTGCGCGTGTGTCATTTTTGTCTATTTGTCTGTTTCTCTTAGATTTCTTTGTGTGTGTTTGTCTATGACGCAGGTTTGTGCGTGCTTAAAGTTAGATGCGTTTGTCTCACGAGGAATTTAGTTTTCACCTGCCCCGCGGCGTTCTGCAGGGTGGGGCGGTGTTTTCGAATGAAGCAACAACATGAAACACTGACTTTGTTGCCGGGATGTCGAAAAAAGTAGACAAGTAAATTTTTTTTCACATGCCAAGGGTACACAACAGCAGTCTCATCTAAAAAAAAAAAGAAACCAAACGTTTTTCTGATTGAGAATAAACACATCTTCCTGGATCGTGTCAAGAAATATTCCCGCACAGTTGCACGTCATGACAATTTTTTTTCCCTCCTCATTACATTTCGTAAAAACTCAACACAAACCCACAAAGTACATGACAAATATAAAGTGAAAAACTGTGTGTTGTCCGTTAGGTGTTCGCCTTGTCCACTCACCCGTACGGCTGCCGAGTCATCCAGCGCATCCTGGAGCATTGCTTGCCCGAACAGACACTGCCCATCCTGGAGGAGCTCCACCAGCACACCGAGCAGCTCGTGCAGGTCTGCTAGCACATTCACTACTACACATTATTGTTAGGAATGGACATGTCCCGATCCCATGTTTAAGCACTGGGACGATACCGCCCATATTTCAAGGTATCGAGGGCTTGTGAAGGCTGCCGATACCAGCCACTGACACTTGAGGCAAAAAAATATATATTTGACATCAAAAAACAAATACAAACTGACCACCCTGTTCTAAAAACTGAAATAATCCAAAATGATTCTAACCTTGGGTCTGTGTGTTTGTACAGGACCAATACGGCAACTACGTCATCCAGCATGTGTTGGAACATGGCCGAGCTGAAGATAAGAGCAAGATAGTGGCGGAGATCAGAGGGAATGTGCTGGGACTCAGCCAGCACAAGTTTGCCAGGTAGAGCACGACGACGACGACACAACCGCCTTAAACATACGGCGCAGGAAATTATTTGCTTTGACCGTACTGTGCTTGAATCTGAATGTGTACGTTCGAGGGGGCGTGGCTTGGGAGTGGCGTCAAGGCGCTCTGACAAGCTTGGCTTGGTCATTTGTCATGTTTGCACATATTTCATGCGCCTTCCGAGTGTACCCATTTTGGTGTGTACACATGTCCATCCGTCCATCCATCCATCCATTTTCCGATCCACTTATCCTCACGGGGGGTGCTGGAGGCTATCCCAGCTGTCTTCGGGCATTAGGCGGGGGACACCCTGAACTGGTTGCCAGCCAATCGCAGGGCAAACGGAAACAAACAACCATCCGCGCTCACACTCGCACACCTAGGAACAATTTAGAGTGTTGCATGTTTTTGGAATGTGGGGGAAACCGAAGTACCCGGAGAAAACCCACACAGGCCCGGGGAGAACATGCAAACTCCACAAAGGCAGGCCGGAGCTGGAATTGAACCCGGTACCTCTGCACTGTGAGGTCGACACGCTGACCACTGGCTCACCGGGCCGCCCGTGTGCACATATGTATTTATATAATCTATATATTTTTTTAAGTTGTGGATGTAATGGTATAGGAATTTGGAAGAACTTTTGGATACAGCATCGGTCTCTGAAAAGTGACACTTGTTTCGCTGTTGGAAAATATGACTCCACACACAGGTGCCCCCTTTCCCCCCCCCCCCCCCCCTTGTCTGTTAGTAACGTGGTGGAGAAGTGCGTGACGCACGCGTCGCGGGCGGAGCGAGCATTGCTGATCGACGAGGTGTGCAGCCTGACGGAGGGCCCTCACAGTGCCTTATACACCATGATGAAAGACCAGTACGCCAACTACGTGGTGCAGAAGATGATCGACGTGGCCGAGCCCACCCAGCGCAAGATCGTCATGCACAAGGTGCGGATGTTAAAACGTTGGCACTCGTGCTGTGAGATGTGACTACAAAAAAAAAAAAAAAATGTCGGGAAAAGCCAACGGGAGCAACTGAAGTTTATTTTGCATTCACTAGAGGCACTTTAAATGGTGGCAGGTTTGGTCGATTCTTATTTAATGGGAGTTTGTGTGATTGGTTAAGTCTGACCTCAGCGCCAATCATAAGAGGATATTCACACTTGTGCAACACCCCCCTCACCCCCCCAAATTTTTTTTCCAATATTTGAGAACTGATTTCTGTTATTTCCTCAAATGTGATCAGATCCGGCCGCACATCTCCACGCTGCGGAAGTATACGTACGGCAAACACATCCTGGCCAAGCTGGAGAAGTACTACATGAAGAACGGCGTGGACCTGGGACCCCTTTGCGGCCCCCCCAACGGCATCATGTAAACACGACACCCAACCTCCTGAATATGGTCGTAATTCTTGAAGAAGGAACCCCCAGCCCTTACCCTTATCCTTCAGTTTCCATGACAACCCTTCCAATAGCCCCTCCCCCTTCCCTAGCCCGGGCCTGCTGAACTTGGGATTGGTGTTCCACCTCTCCCGTTATTTCTTTTGGGTTTTTTTTTCCCCCTATTTAACTTTTGACTCCCTACCACTATTCCGAATGACTATTTAATTTGTCAGCCAATCGTAGACGAGTGCACACAAGGGCCCGCGCGCGCGAGCGAGCTAACCAGCCTACATGTCATTTAGCATGGGAGTTTTCTGGTCTTGCTTCTATAAATATAACATGTATACTTGGTGTAGAATCTTTGCATATACAGTACATATAAATATATATATATAAATATATATATAAAAACTTTGTAGGTTTTTTCTGGTTTTTTGATGTCAATTGTATCTATAATGTATCCTAGTAGTGACCACGCATACTTCTGACTGTATACTTGTACATTTGTAAACCCTTGTAATGTAAAAGTGCTTTACCGCCCTTTTTTGGTATGATGATGATGAGGAAAAAAAAAAAAGTTAGGGGGGGAAAAAAAAACTTTACCTGTGCATTTCAGTGTATATTCTCTCTTTTTGGTTTGTGACATGAGTTGTTGTATATTGTAAATTGTAATATCAAATTTTGCTTCTTTTTTTTTCTCCCCCTGAAAGACCTTTCTATATCGATACATCGTAGTACTTGTACAAAAAAAATTCACACCACACTTGGTTTTATCTGCTTAACTTAAAAAAAAAAAAATCTCCCCCTGACTTAAGTTGTGCTTTTTTTTTTTTTACTTTTTTAAAAGATCTTTTTATGGAAACGCTTCACTTTTGATGGGAGTGTACACAGCTTGTACAGAGGATTTTTTTTTTTTTTTGGCTAGTGCTCAAAGTGCTGTATCATACTTGTCCATGTTTTCTCTTTTTTGTGGGGAGGTTTAGTGAGAAGAGAAGAAAGGCAGCCATTTTTTGGGGTGAAGATATATATATATATGAATTTAAAAAAAGCCGCCTTGTGTATATTTACTACTACGAGCACACCTTGTAACCATATGTGTATAGTTAACAGAAACCTGTGTATGCTTTCTTGCCTGGGCAACTATTTTTTGTAACTCCTGTTGTAGATTGTCTCAAAACAATTGTGTGATCTTTATTTTGGAACCAAACCGAATATAAACAGAAATCCCCCCCAAAAAAAAAACTTTGAAAATTTAAACCCCTCTCTATGTTGTGCATCATTGTTTCTCACTTGATTTAACGCCAGCCCTTGATTTAATTTGAGTCTTTTTAAAAAAAAATTACCTCTGGATGAGTTCAGGCATGCCTAATCGATCACAGATGCTTGAGAAACTCGGGAGCTTTCTTGGTATTAAAACATAGTTGAAGTAAAATAGGGCAAAACAAAGCAGCGTCTGTTAGCATCACAATGCCATATGTTCAAGTTATATCTTATTTACAAGAGAAAACAAACCAGACGTCATAACTGGGGCATGCCCATCTATTGCAGGTTAACACTCATCAAAGTTAGTTTCAAACAAGAACACTACCTTGGTTCATTTTTTAATTTTGTATTTGCTATTTGGTGAATATTTTCTCTGTGTTGGTGGACTTGAATGGACAAAAAGCAGCAAACATCCCGTTTCGTTGCTTGTTTTGGACATTTTTATACAAAACAATCCATATTTGATCTTCAGTTTTTATTTCATATCACACATATTTGCAAATCCATTTCAGTAACTGGCTGTTTTTTGTGTGTATTTTATAGCAGACAAACATTTAAACCCAAACTATTAGATCTGATCTTGAGGGAATTTCAACACCACTTACTAAACCCAGATTTGTCACCAAAAGGTAAAGAAAACACCCAAAATCCAGATAGCTATGCTGTTTTTTTTTTACACACACACACACACACACACACACACACACATTACAGTACACAACTCGAAGACACGTGCTCAAGGTGAATCCCGTAAAATGCAACGTAAGGTCATGGAAGCGCGACAGAAATAAATAACTTCAGTGACGTGATATTTACAAGACGAATAATGGACAGGCGCGAGTGAAGTGCGACATCCACTGAATTAAAATTAAATGTGGGGGGGCTATTTTTAAAATCCTTATTTCTCCGCCTGTGTGTTCGTGTGTGTGCTACTGAGCACCTGCTCGGTTGCTATGCAACCATGAAAATGAAATCTGATGGTCGATGGTGCGTTTGACACATCTTTCGTGCATCAGTACGGGGGGGGCGGAGTAGTGAAAAGAAGGTGTGTACCGCCCCCCTGGGAAAATAAAAATAGTAACACTTTCTTGAAGATTTATCCTTCCATATGACGCCAACGTGAGTGGTGCGCTCGACACAACTGAACGGACAACAGTGAAGGGCGGTTCACAGTGACTTAGGTGTTTAACCGCCCCACTTGAAAAAAAATTACCCAACTAACCAACGCCAAGAAGAAAAAAGAGCGGGAAGGCCTCCACTTCCGCTGTGGGTACCTGCTCGAGCTGCAGGGGGCAATCCTCTTCCGCGGAACCCCCACTTCCTCCTACCCTCCCCCCTTCAGTCAACCCCTCCTCCCGACAGACTCGCGGTTCCAGGCGGCGTCTCCATACGGAACATCCTGCCTTCTGAGCGGCGAGGGGGGGAGGAGATAGCGAGAGAGAGGAAAGACAGCCGGAGGGAGGCGAGACTAGCCAGTAAAGCCATCAGGAGCGAGCGGAGAGGTGGCCTGGAACTCGAGAAGAGGAGGGGGACCTTCTTCTTCGTCCGGCTTCTTTTTTTGTGTGTGTGGATTTTAAAAGGTTGGCCGGCGGCGCGCTCTGAAAGTTGGACCACAGACGGCTTCGACGACACCCCCTCGAAGGAGGCAGCGGCGGTTACCACCAACCGGGAGGCTGTGGCCGCGTAACCCGCTAGCGAGCATGAGGCTGCTGCCCGGGTTGCTCTTGCTGGCGCTGGCCGCTGTGCCGGGGGCTTACGTACACGCGGTAAGTCAACCTACCTACCTACCTACCTACTTAGCACCCCACCTGCCTACCTACCTACCTTGCTACCTACCTACCTTAACCCCGCCATGTTGTTCCTTTGTGTGCACGCGCACCTCCACATCCACTTAAGTATCCGCGTGCGTGTGCGCATGCGTCATTAATGAGACGGGAGTGATGATATCCACGAGGAAATCCTGCACTCGACCTACATAACAGACCTCTGTAGGCTAGCACGTACATTCGCGCGTGCGTTCGTACGTACGGTCTTCCGTGCGTGCGCGCGCGCGCGTTAGTGAGTAATTAGTGGGTAATCTCTAATTGAGCTTGTATATGGGCTCTGCGGGTTGTGGCGTCTGTGTCACCGGCCTCGCATCCTGGCGTTAATTTGGGAGAAGGGGGTGGGTAGTTTGGTGGGTGGGGTAGCGGGCACAATTTATTACACGCATAGAGGTGGATGGATGATGTCATCGGAACCCCTACATCTCCTCCTCCACCCCCCTCTCGAAAAAAACGAGACCACCGTCACAACACGCCCACGTCTTCCGTTCCCGATGGAGTCACATTTATCCTTGGAGTACGTGGAGGAGGACGAGGAGGCAGTGAAGACAGAAAATCATTGAGAGAAAGGCAGGCAAAGGGCAAAAATAGACGAAATTTGAAGGGAGTCCTGTGTGAGTGATGCCAACCGCAGAAATGGAGTTGTTTCTTGGAAGAGTTCGTTGCTGGTGAACTGAAATGAGAACACTCACAAGGAGCAACTCCGGCTCATGGTGGCACTCTGTAGGCCACGCCTCTTAAAGGCACAAAATGTTATGGCCCTCCTATACGGCTTAAAAGACAAAGAAAAATCCTTCATACTTTGACGCTATGTTATTCTTTGATAAACTTTATACTTTCCTCATTAACGTTATCTCTGTACATCATATACAGTAGGCTCTTTAAAAGCCACCGGCCAGTATAGTAGTGTGAATTATCAAGGGGGTTTGTGTGCGCGTGTGTTTTTAAGTGCTAAAAGGTTTTGACACGGCTCCTCAACAGTCATTCATACCCACACACAACCTCACACTCGTCAGGATTATTGCTGGGTCAGTCGGTTAACGTAGCAAAGAGCGTGCTGGCCTGGACCTGAACTAGTCTGCCATCATGTGTACAGAGACAGATGTGTGAGTGAGTGTGATGTGAGTCTGTATGCATTGCATGCATTTTTTTTCATGAGAAAGAAAGAGGTGTGTGTGTGTGTGTGTGTGTGTGTGTGTGTGTGTGTGTGTGTGTGTGTGTGTGTGGGAGCACGCGCATGTAATGTATTTATGTCTACTTCCTGTTATCGCAACTTGTGCTATCACGTTCGCCCGGCTGTGTTTTGCATGATTTTCCCACAAACATCTGTTGTGTTCCAAGGATGGCCCATGCATGTGTGTGTGCATGTGAGCGTGTGTGTCCTTCATGAGAGACTTGATTGTCCATCTGTCAGCGTGTGGGCCTCGCCGAAAAAAAGTCGGGACTCTCCCGATGCCAGCCACTTGTCCTGGCCAGCTCCTCCGAGGCGTCGTGTTCCCTCCGCCGATCGCAACGAATCCACGGCTTCAGCTACCCACCACCCCCAACCCTCTCCTTCGGCGTTGGCAAACAAAGCCCCCCATAGTGCGAACGCGAACGCGAGAAGGGGCGGCAAAGATCCCGAGCAGCTTGAGCAAGGCGAGATGGAGGCCGAGTGTGAAATGCAGGAGGCAGTTTGACACAGGAAGCTGAAGCAGGGGGTGGGGGGGGGGTGACACAGAGTGCCCTCACACATGCATACAGGTAGAAAAGACCCCCGAGGGAGGGCGCCTGGAGGTATTTCAGGTGTGTGTGTGAAGCTGCGGGTGGGGAGGGGCTCCTCGTGGATAAAGGAAATGAAAGAGGTTGCGGTTCATATCCGGTTCTGCTGACGGCTTGAGGTCAGCGTGGGTGAAGAAAGACAGCTTTCAGACAACCACCGTACACCCCCACCCCTCCAGAATCCCCACACACAAACATACCCAAACACTCACGTCATTTTGGTCTCTTGAGAATTTTTGGTTCTCACGGGTTCTCTGAGGGAAATTCCCATTTATCATCAAACATTTGAGGGACTTGGAGCTCAAATCAAAAACTCGGAGCCGGAGTCCCGAAAGAGGCGACAGTAGTCGGTATTCATAACTTGGGATGTTCAACACCACCTTTTTTTCAAGACCAATACCAATAAAAGTATTCACTGTTTGTATACTCACTGATACTTAGTACCGATGCACCTCGTACATTTGATATCAAAATGTATTTAACCCAATCGCAAAAAATGTGTACAAAGACCTCTCTTTCCGATGTATATGATGATTCGCTGATGTGTCAATCTGCCACAGCATTTGCCAGGTATAGATATATATTTTTTGACTTAAGTATCTGTGGTTGGCATCAGCAACCTTCACGAGTACCCGATACTTGAAATTGTGGTGGGTATTGGCCTGATACTGATACCTGCTATCCGGACTGGCCAAGCCCTATTCATAACAAAAACTCGGTAGTGGCAACAAATTTATGCCAAAAATGCTCACAAGATTCATGGCGATGCTTTTTTTTCAGGAATTGGAAAGAATTGTGATGGAACGTCTCCCACTGCATTAATACGAAAAACGTGCAAACGGTGATGAGGGTGAACCAAATATGCTAAATGCTAATGCAGAGTTTTGATGTGTCCAATCTGAACTGTTTCTCAGGATTAGGAAACCCTCCCCAAATAAATTTCAAAGAAAATTGAAAGTCTGTTAGCGTACTTTCGTACATAACATTCAAATGTTTTTTGAAAACAAAACCAAAAAAAAAAAAAAAATGAAGAAGAATATTGGATTTAAAAAAAATGATTTGGTAATCTTTCTTTTCGTGGCGTAGCTGCTGTGAAAGTTCCCAAAATGCCAATTGTCCTGGCGGCCATTTTGTGTTCATATTTTCCCCTCTAAATCCCAAAATACAAAACATGGATGTAAAATCATGCTACGGCTCGTTTCAGAGGCAAAGCAGCCGAGTTTTGCTCTTGCTGGCCATTTTGTTGATGGTTTTTCTTCAACATGTTTGCCACCGACACTGGGAGTGTTTGGAATGTTTTTTTTTTGAGGAAACAAACACGCCGTTAACCAGTGCGAGCATGCTTGCTCCTACGTAACAGCACATTAAAGCCTGTTATTATGTTATTATCTTACGCACACACACACACACACACACACACACTCACACACGGTGATAGCGTGCTAGTCTTTAATACTCGCAGTGAGTCAGACGGGGAGACTGTAGAACCCTCGAGGTGCTTTTTTTTTTTTTCTTTTCATTTAGGCTGGTCAAAATGGGCGGAGAAATGCCGCTTGTGCAGATACTAAACACACACACATGCGCGAGCGCGCACTTCTCCTGCAGTAATTGGGAAGTTGCAACACACACGCACACAGACACACACATATTCTCCGCAGATGGGCTGAGATGAAAATGGAGGCAGCGGAAGGAAGGAGGAGGAGTGGAAAAAGGGAGAGAGGGAGATAATGAGGGGGAGTGGAAGGAAGGATGGAAAAGGGGTTAAGTTAATGGCAAGCGTGGAGATGAGAGGGCATGTGTGTACCCCCCCCCCCCAAACACACATTTGTGTCCACAAAAAACGCAGATGGAATCGGGACGAAGGGTGCGAAAAAAGAGGTGGGGGGGGGTGGCAGGGAGGCTTCCACCACTGGTTCCCCCGGGATGAGCGAGGGAGCAAGCCCGGTGCTACCTGCTCTCCGTTGCCAAGGCAACCACCTCTGTCAGAGCCTCTGCGCTTCGGATCACCCCGCTTTGCTTTTTTTTTTTTTTTTTTTAACCGATTTTCACGGCTTGTCCGTCCTCTTCCGACACAACAAAATCGCCACCCAATAAAATAGATTCTTCTTCAAAGTAGAATTCTGTGATCTTGTCACATGCTTAAAAAGACCGCCAGGCCAAGTGTTTAGTAAGTTTACCGCTCAAACTCTTAAGTAGGGAAACTGTCTTTCGTTTTCATTCACGGTTCACCAATTTGCTTTTATTTCCGCACCAGTCTAACCGAGAAGACTAAAACATTTACGTTCTATTGGACAGATACGCAGATTACTTATGTTTGTCCAAAAAATACACGGGAAGAGGCCTTGGAAAAAAAAAGTGAAATAATGAGGGCAAAAAAAAAAAATTGCACTTCGACTATTTTTCAAAACTGTTCAGCCCTACTCGAAAAAGACGTTACCCTCCCCGAGGCCGAGAGTTTCCCCTGTTCTCTAATTGGGTTAACAAAGGGCAGGGATGTGAGATGGTTCTTGGTGGGAGGCGGCGAGGGGAGGGGGGGGGGGGCACAGCGAGCAGCTCGGAACGGGACAGCCATGCCAGACTGGACTCCCGACATCAATGAATGAAATGGACTAGATGGGAATCCATTTCTCACTCCGCAATAGTGGTGCTTGGTGTTTATCTGTGAATTGAGCCACTCCTGACACCAAATCTTTTTTTGGCATTTTGAAATCTCTCGTGCAGAATCGGACAGCGGCATTTTCGCAATGTTCATCACTTCCAAAAAATAAAAATCGCGCATGGTCATAATTGCCCGATGTCCTCCGTTCACGACTTTGGCGAAGAGAATTCTGACATGCAGCACAGGAAGGAAGCGCTTACCCATGAATTGATCCTCGCTTCTGACGCCAAACGCCCGGCGGAATATCTCCGTTGCGGCACACATAAAGGTGCCTCGGAAGTTGGATAATGACATATAAGGGCGTGTGTGCGTGCAGTTGTGTTTATCGGGGCTGGAGGGGGATTTTTGGTTGCTTAGATTCCCAACAGTGTGTTTATTTGTGTTGCATGTGTGCCTGCGTGCGTGTGTGTGTGTGTGTGTGTGTTCTTTTGGGTCACCGGGTTACAGGACGGACACAGGAAGTCAAGTGTGTACTTCCTCGCCGGTGCTTTTATCCGCTTTTATCCAGATGCGCGTGTTTGTT